GGACATTGTTTACGCTGTAAGTGTGGTAAGCCAATTCATGCAAGTGTCCTAGTGAAGACCATATAGGTGCAAGAATTCGAATTCTACACTATCTAAAAGGTTCACAAGGGAAAGGGTCGATGTTTACCAAGAATGGTCATTTAAACATTGAAGGGTACATAGATGCGGACTAGGCAGGGAATGTTATGGATAGAAAATCCACTTCGAGCTACTTCAATTTTATGGGAGGAAACTTAGTTACATGGAGAAGCAAGAAACAAAAGGTGGTAGCATTATCCAAGTCTGAAGCTCGAATTCGGAGGCATGACTAAGTGACTCCGTGAGCTTTTGTGGCTTAGAAGATTAGTAACCGAGTTTAGACTTAGCCCTATGACTCGAAATGAATCTATTTTATGACAATAAGGCAACCATTGACATATCTCATAATCCTATTCAACACGACAAGTATAAAGCATTTGAAAGTAGATAGACACTTCATAAAACAAAATTTGAAGGAGAAAATCATTAAATTTCCATTTGTCAAATCGAAAGACCAACTCGCAGATACCCTCACAAAGGCAAGTATACGGTAGGAAATTTCACAACTCACTTGGCAAGTTGAGTGTTAGAGATACCTAAGGATCAACTCGAGGGGGAGTGTTGGTGTGAATAGTTAGCTAGAAATCTATAATTATAAAAACTACAACTATATATATCCCGTGGGTCGAGGGATAACTATAAGTTTAGAAAATCATATATATCCTTTCCTACAATCTCTCTTTGTATCCGTATATATATTGGAAAGAAATCATACGAATAAAAACAAGAAAAATAAAAAGAGAACTTACGGTTTGACATCAATTTTAAATCAAAGAGTGGTTGAAAAATGTTGATTAGTCTCTCAAACAAGTTTTATTTTGTAGCAACGAACTGTTGAGGAGTTTGGAGATTTGTTAAAGCTTTTTTTTTTTTAACTCACACATCCAACACACACATCTAAGGTTCTTAGCAGAATTAGTCCGTAAGAATTTGAACTCATTTTCTCTTGCAAGAGACCGTTATCACTAAGCTACAATATCTTTGGTGTCAAAGCTCTCATTCATTGAGTCGATAGGATCATTACAAGCACATGAGCAAACATTCTCTATAAGAGCAGAAAGTTCATTAGAGTTGTCGTTAAGTTGAGACACAAGTTAAATAGCAACTCTCCAAAAGATTATAAGGATCGGACTTGTCATGACCCAAAATTTAGGTTATATTTATTTTTTCAGTATTTTTTCATTGATTTTATTTCTTTTATTTATATTTTATTTTTTCTTATTTATTTTATCAACTTTACAAGTTTTATGTTTTATCTTTTATTTTCATAAGAAAAAAAGAAGAAAAAAGGAAAATAAAAAAATTAATTTCATAATCAATGTTTCCAAAAAATAAAAATAAAAAATGAAAATACAAAAAAATATAAACATAGGAAAAGAAAATATTCTTACATAAAACAATTAATTAGGGATATTATTGAAGGGAATAAGGACGATAATTTTTTTTAGTATTTTTTATTGATTTTATTTCTTTTAGTTATATAGTAATGTTTCTTAATGCATTCAAAATAAAACGGAATCATTCAACAATGAATAGGTGTTTAATCAACGTATATATTTGTTTTTAAGAATGGCATGAAATTGAATTTGACTTTTTCTTTTTTTCCTTACCAAAAACTTGAATTGACATAAACAAGGTTAAAAAACCCAAAGTATCGAATCCGAGTTATTCTCATGTTCTCTCGAGCATGATATATCATCGAGCTCTCAAAACTTAATTAACGAGCTAAGATCTAATAGTTAATTTTACTTCATAAAGCATTAATATTAATTAAGCTATATATTTTTGTATTGATTATACCGACCTTCAATACATAATTTTAAATTCTTTCATCCAAGAAAGAGAAAGACAAAATATTGCAAAACTTATAGTTTTCTCTTTGCAATATGTTACAAGCTATAACATTCTTATTTCATTATTATTATTATTTACAATTTTGGGATGTTGCTATAAAAAATAAAATAAAAATAAAAATTTGTTCTTGTCTTGCTCAAAGGCTTTATTAAAGGATTATTTTACCTAAAAACTTAAGTTGATAGGTGAGATTCTAAACTATAAGTTACATTAGTTTCTAGCAAGCTTTCTTAACTTTGCTCTTTTTCTTAATGTATTGTTTCACTTTATCTCGATTATTCAATTTTATTTTCTCGAGGTATTGAAGTTTTATCCTTGGAAATTTTTTATACTAAAGAATCTTGGGTTTTTATTTATTTATTTGGGATTTGTTTATATATCAAAGTTAAAGGTGTTAATGAAAGGAAAACAGTAATACAATTTAATTTTTTTCTCAGTAAACCAACTAAATCATAACCATTTATTTATTTTTAAGATTTCAGATTAAGTGAACATAAAATATCATATTTCCAATCCCACGTAAAACCATCTTAATTCTTGCATAAAATGGATCAATGTGTGAATTTTTGGCTCCAAAGCTTTACGGTAATTTCATTAAACATTGTCCTACAAATATTTTTGCTGTACTGCTGGCTCCATGTGGTACTACACATCGTTTTTTGTACTTCCTCCATAGCACCCACATCTGAATGTTTCGTACAAGCAAAAGAATTATCCATTTGTGACTTTTCGAAGTAACCTTTTGTCATTGTCCGTCTGAGCTCACGTTTTTGTTGATTGTTCTGTTTTTCTAAATTAGGCATAAGAAAAAGAGCAATAATCTTTCTTAGCTCATGAATTACTGTATGACATGCATGTATCACCTACCCAGCCCTAGGCCCACTAATTGGTGACGATGAAATTCTTATTGCTTGCTTGGTTTTGAGTCAGCATGTGCAAGGTTTCAAAGAGAGGAAGTTACACAACTGGACAAACAAATTAAAACAAATTTCATGCCCTTTTTTTTCTGATTAAAAAAAAAAATGAAGTCTTTTTTTATGTTTCCTCGACTTTTCCTCTTTATTTCTAAGAAAAGATGCAAAGAGAATGAAATGAAATATTGCTTTTCTAAATATAAACAACAATCTTGCTTTATTTCTTTGCCACTGACTCGTCTTTCCTTTCTTTTGTTGCTTTCTATTTTTGCATCATCAACATGACAAGGAAAAACTACTTAACAAACTTTTTTTTTTTAAAAAAAAGAATGATTCGAGAAATTTTATAATATATCGGGAGTAACTAGTGACATATACAATAGTTACTTTAGGAGTCCACTTTGAGAGAGAGAGATAAACACATAAAAAAGATAGAAATTACATCTATACTCATCAAAAGCGCTAAGAAGATTTCCACGTCCGCTCAATTTTTTTTTCTCTCTTCGTTACTCTCTTTCTCTTTTTATATGTCTATCTCTCTCTTCAAAGTGAGCCCATAGAGTTACTATTGTATATATCACTAGTTATTCCTTATGTATTATAAAATTTCTCGAATGATCCACCATTTCGTCCGCGTTTCCATTTTGTTTTTGACGTCAAAGAAAGTGAAATAATCTTTGGATCTTTGTACGTTCCAGTTTTTTTTTTTTCAATAAATTAAGAAAGTTTGTTTCATTCAATAATTGAATTAGCCCATGTATGATAATACTCTTTCTAGTTCATAAATAAAGTCTTTGAAATTAAAAAAAAAGCATTAAATACTTTTTAACTCATAATTTTTGTTCAATTTACTACATTATCATTTAAAATTAAAAATACTTGAAAAAAAATAAATATGTGAATTCGATTGTTTTTTTAAATAAATTAGTAAAATATGGTACTCATTTTGTTTTTTTTGATAAAAAACATACATTTTGGAGCCATCTAAATAAGAAAGAAAGGACTCTCTTTCTAAAATGGAGGGAATATTCTTTTAGTTCCTTTTATAAGTTTAGCAAGTTAAATTTTCAAAAGAATACTCGGTTCTTGGTAAAAAAAAAAAAAAAATCTAAGAATTGAGCATCTTATTTTATTACTTTACCCCTCATTAAAAGTTCAATTCACATATTTTATGTATAGTCGTATTTAATTATGGAATATAATTTTATAAAAACAATACAAATTGTATAAAGAGATGTTTAATATTCTTTTTCTGCTTATAATAAAAAAGGTTTGAACTTGAGACTTTTTAAAGACGGTGAAGATGAAAAATACTATCGATTGAACTACATTTTATCGATGCCTTTTAATACCTTTTTTTTTAATAATAATTTCAATGGGACTTATATAGTATTATTTTTGGAATTAGACTTGAAATTTAGGAGAGGGTTGAGAGAATATTCTCATGAATTTACAACTGCGAGATAGATTATAGATTGCAAGAAAAATCCGTGGAGAAAAAACTAGTCCGTTTTGTCCCAAAATACCCTTCATGGCTATCACTTTTTTAAATTTATATTTAATAATTAAGTTGCTACCGGCTAGTAAATTACTAAATGGTTTGACAAGGATACTTGCGTCATTTCAGATCCTTGTAACGGCAGGAAGTGAAAATGCAATGCTCTTTTGCTTTCCCGGTCATCTGGCCAACTATAAATACCTGTCTTGTCCTCCCTCGATCAAGTCAGGTCCAGACCAGACCACCGGAAAGTAGAAGCAAGCCAACAGCTTCGAACTACAAGAATTTCCTCCATCTTCACTCCTCCTCGCTTGAACATTTAATCGGCAACAATCTCCGGTGACCCCCTCAAAATTAGAGATAACCGCTTCATCCTTTGGTAATCAATCACATTCATTCTTTTATACGTTGACCGTTTTGTTTCAGTTGATCGCTCGTGCTCAAATTTTATATATTCTTGCTTTGAAATTCAGAAACTATTAAAAGACTATTGAATGCACCTTTTTGTGATTTCTTTTGAATCAATCTCGGAGAAAGTTGGAAGTTTTCTGGGCCTTTTTTTTTTTTTTTCCAGGTTCTGGGCTTTGTTAATTACTACTGAATAAGTATATATTGTGTTTATCTTATTTTAATAATCAGGTAAGAAGAATTGAAAGATGGAGGTGGAAAGGGAGAAGGAACAAGAGTCAGAGTGGCTTAAAGCTCAAAAGATTGAGATAACTGTGGATCTTTTGGCTGCAGCTAAAGAGCACCTTCAGTTTCTTGCTGCTGTTGATAGGAATCGTTGGCTTTATGATGGTCCTACCCTTGACAAGGCCATTTATAGGCAAGAATACATCCTGTTCCTTGAATTGATTTTCTTTTGTTTCATTTGGCCTCTTCTTATTTCGTAGCCGTCTTCAAATTTGCAGGTTATTAGTTATAATTAAATGTATTTTTTGATTTTTTCTTTTTCGTTATTACATTCACTTGGGAACGGCGATAGCTGTGTGTTTAAGTTGAAAGTCATTTTGCTTTGTCATGTTATTGATTTTGATTATGTGAAAAGACCAATAAAATCAAAGTGAAGAAGGCATCTATCCATTAATTTTATATTTTTTTCCCCTTCATATCTACATTCTTGAGGGAATCGAATCCGAATATTTCCTGGGATTAGTTCTACCTTGTCTCTCCATACCACCTTTCGTATGTTTCTTGGGTTTAGAGTTAGCTTGTCTCTCCATAGCACCTTTTGTATGGAAGTTCAATAACTGCTTTTGTATTTCTCAGTTTTATGGATGTTAATTTCAATTTTCAGGTATAATGCTTGCTGGCTTCCCTTGCTTGCCCAACATTTGGAGGCAGCAATTGCTGAAGGACCATTGGTGGTGCCTCTAGACTGTGAATGGATTTGGCACTGCCACCGGCTCAATCCAGTAGGCTACTAATAACTAAGATATTATGGCCTTGATTTCACTTTTTATGTTGACTTGGTAATCACTGTCTTTTGACTTTGCTATCCAGGTACGATACAAATCTGACTGTGAAGAACTTTATGGAAAGATCCTGGATTACTCTGATGTTGTATCCTCTGTCAAAGGAGTTTGTAAAAGGCAAACTGCAGAAATTTGGAATAGGTTCTATCCAGATGAGCCCTATGACTTCAACTTGGCTTCCTCAGAAGCTGTCCATGAGAAAATTTCAACCCTTGAAAAAGGCACCAACTATGATTTGGTGTCGGCAGTCAAAAGGCAGAGCCCTTTCTTTTATCAGGTAATGAAAGGATAATCTTGATCTCTTATGTCACGATCTTTGAATTTACTGGCAATCATATTTTATATCTCTCGAAGTTAAGATGACATATATGACTATCTGAGATGCTACTTTTGTTGTTGTCTCATAAATAAATGAAATTAGTTACCTGATAATTGTTAGAGTTGGCACTCAGATATGGAGAATAGCAACAGGATCAATTCTGCGCACCCTAAAGTAACTGATTGATTACATAAAAAAAAACGATTGTGGGAAGTTTTCTTCAATTTTTAATGTTCTTACAACTGTCCTTCTTTCCCCAAGTATGATTTGGAACAATGCTTTCTACAATTCAGAAATAGTGGAAAAAGAAGCATCTTATATCAAAAAATTCTGTATTCTTATTTTCATTAGGCACTACACATCAAAATAAATATGTAAGTGGTGGATAGCCTTTTCTTAATCATTCTAAGGTAGAACTCCTTATGCCATAAAAACTAATTTGTCAAAACGAACTTACTATTCTTAGTTTCATCAATCAGTGAATGTCACTAGCATTTTAGAGGTCATGCCAATTGAAAGTTAAAGAACCATCTGTTTAAAGTTATCTGGTTTTCTTGTGTGATTAAAAACATTTGCAAATTCTTTATACATGGTCAACTACTAAACAAACTTTTGGTGCGCACACAGAGATATATGCAGCTCAAGGTTTCTGCTGTCCTGGTCTTCTATTTTTGTTTTTGTTTTTTCCTAACATTCCTCAATTTTTTTTTTAATCCTATTTGTGACAGGTTTCCAGACCTCATATGAACAATGATATTTTTCTTGAAGGAGCTATAGCCAGATATAAAGGGTTTTTGCATATTATTAAGAGGAACAGGGAAAAGTCCATAAAATGCTTTTGCGTTCCAACTTATGACATTGATCTTATCTGGCACACACACCAGTTGCATCCTGTTTCTTACTGTAAAGATGTGAGTCAGGCACTTGGCTGGATATTGGGACATGATGACATGGACTCTGACAGATCTAAAGGGAAGAAGCTGGATGTTGGATTTTCTGGAACCACCAGACATTGGGAAGAGACATTTGGCAGAAGGTATTGGAAGGCAGGTGCTATGTATAGAGGCAGTGATCCATCTCCTGTCGCAACCATTCCGTTCCAATCAAATATCTTGAGCAAAGAGTTAGAAAAATCAAATCAAAGCCAGAAGATGATTGAACTTTCGGAGGTGAAGACTGTTGAGGTAATTTCTGATCACCCTTCTTTTGCCCTTCCCACATATTTATTAATTTGTTTATTATTTGTCAATTTGAAATTCTTAGCAATCTCTCTCTCTCTTCCTGCTCCACTCCACTATGTTTTTTTTAGTGCAAGTGACACATCAGTATATGGGCAGTGAATCTAAAGTAGAAGTGTTCTAGCCAATGAGCTGCAGCTCAGCTGGCATTGGTATCGCCCCTCCTCCAAAGAGGTCTCGAGATTGAACCTCTCCTTTGTAACCAAAAATAAAAAAATAAAAATTAGGAATTATGCAGCCTAGAAGCTTCTGAATTTATTACATTGAACCTTCTTTCTGATTTATCAGTATCACTTGGTGCCATCAACAAAGTTCCTTCACTCCCTGTTCTTTTTGGTGTTGTACAATGCCAATTGATGATATATGCTGCCCATGCTACTTTGAGTAGAAACAGCTTGGGTTTTTAATTTTAATTTTATTTTTTAATTTTAAGTTTTTAATTTTGGGTTCTTACCACTATAGGTCTTTTTGGAGATTGTGGGAGTCAAAAACTTACCGGAGGGACACAAGGGAAGCCTCTTTGTGATGTTTAGTAAAAAACAACCTGATGTATTCTTTAATGTTAAGCGGAAACTTACAATCCTATCAGAATCTGGAGAGAAAAACGTTGCTTATTTCCAATGTGAACCTAAGGGAGAGCTTTTGTTTGAACTTGTATCACATTCATCTTCCAACTTACCACTAACCAAGGTGTGTAAAACAATGGGCACTTCTTCATTCTCCCTGGAAGACTTTTTGAATCCCGTGTCCGAACTTTCTGTGGAAAGATGGGTGGAATTACAACCTACTTCTGGCAATATGAGCTCAAAGCCAATCTGCCTCCGAATTGCTGTCTCATTTACTGTTCCCATCCAAGCACCATATGAACTGCACATGATTCCTTCCCGAGCACACTCAAAAAGTTCTTGCTTCTTCCCGCTCCCTGGAAGGACACAAAATGCTAAGAGCTGGACTCGTATCGTTGAGCAAACTGACGCTGAGATTATCAGCCTACAAATGAGGTATGCTTGTATCCACATATCATGTCAAGTTTAAAACCGTAATTTCTACATTGATTCTCTATTGCTTGAAACTTTTAATGTCCTGCATCTGAAGAAACCTTAAACTCATACCAAAGAAATCTATTTTCTTATGTTATATGCTAGGAAAGCGTTAAAAAATCATAAAAATGAAAATCGCCTGTAGTTGCAAAAAGGATTCTGCCAATAGACAATGTCGCACTTAGTCTCCAATCTATGTTCTTTAGTTTACTCACTTTTGGAGATATTGTCAGTTGAAATATCCTGCATTAACGGAATCTGTCTTTTTCTTTCTCGTCAGTAATAGCATTCATTCGAGTTGTTAAAACTTAAAATCTTTTGGGAATGTATGCTTGTCAAGCATCTTTCTGTGGGCATGTGACGTGATAGCAGGATGTTATGACATTTTCCAAAACCCATCATTATATCATTTTCTGGCTTTAATTGTTCTTTAGGGACTCTACAAAGGCAAAGGAGAATGAAAGAAGCATTCTTAAGCAGCAAGTAACTGGTGTTATGAAGTCTGGTGAAACATGTATGCTCGCAGAGTTTGTGGGGACTCGGTGGTGTTTGATAGATTCTCAGTGGTACCTTGAGCTCAAAAAGAAATGCAACAAAGAGGATCATCTCTTTGAGCTCATAGGCAGTCGGATGGTATTCATCTTTTACCTTTCACTTTTTCCTCTAAAATTTGTTAATTTGATATCTCTAAATTTCTTTTTAAATGTATTATGCTTTATGAATTGCCATTATGAACAATCATTCCAAATAGCCAGAACATCATAAATTATATTGATCATCTCTGAATGAACCACATTTGCTTTGTTATCTTATCATCGAATCTTTAACAGGGATTTGCAAACCAATGTAGAAACCAGTACCATGTGCTGTATTCAATAGTTGCCCACTACTAGTTTAAGACTGAAGCTTAGCTTAGTTGAAGTACTCTGCCCCTTCAACCTCAATAGGATTGCATTCTCACCCACATGGATCATGCATTCACTCTATGTACCATACTTGTTAGTTTTCGTGTCTTTATCTTTTTCACTTTCTTTAGCTAACAGCAGAACTTGCCATTGTTTTCAGTCTGAGTAGCCTACAAACCATGTGTTAAATTTTTCTTTCTGGCACAGGTAAAAATTTTCCAGGGAAAAAAGCTCGATTTTGAGCCTAAACATTGTGAGAAGAAGAGAAATGAAAAAGATTTTATGACTGCAGTTGAATTTTCTACGGAGGATCCATATGGAAAAGCTGTGGCATTGCTTGATTTAAAGTCTGGATTTGTCGAGGTAAATTACTACTTATCTTATTAACTAGATTTCTTTATAGATTTCCCAAGTTGCATCTGATTTAATATAAATTAACAGGTAAAAGAAGCTTGGTTCGTGCTGCCTGTAATCATATCAGCCTTCATACTTTCTGATATTTTGAAGAAGGAAGGATATAATGGTTTCACTTCTAACAGAGAAAATCTGAAGGAGGTGGATGGTTTAGTCGAAAAGGCCAAAGGCTTCCATGAGGAACCTGAGCAAACCAGTCTGCTCGCATCTGCAGAAAGTAACACGGAGTTGACGGTGGATGTGGCTAAAGGAAGTTTAGTGAAGAGTCAAGGCTTGAGAGGTGGTTGTGGCAGTGGTTGTGGCGGCGCATGTGGAGACATGGTGAGGAGTGGAAAGTGTGGAGGTGGTTGTGGCAGTGGATGTGGAGACATGGTGAGGAGTGGAAAGTGTGGAGGTGGTTGTGGCAGCGGATGTGGAGAATTGATGGGGAGTGGAAACGGTGGTGGTGGTGGTTGTGGCGGGGGGTGTGGTGGGGGATGTGGAGATGTTGTGGGGAGTGGAAATGATGGTGGCGATTGTGGTGGGGCTTGTGGTGGGGGGTGTGGTAGCTTGGTGAGGAGTGGAACGGATGGTGGTAGTTGTGGCAGCGGTTGTGGTGGTGGTTGTGGTAGCATGGTGAGGAGTGGAAAGTGTGGCGGCGGTTGTGGCGGGTGTGGTGGTGGTTGTGGTGGGTGTGGTGGCGGTTGTGGTGGCATGGTGAGGAGTGGAAACTGAGCTGGCCCATACGGTGGTGGTCATGATTTGGAAATATGATTAAGAGTGGTTCTTGTGGTGGCTGTGGAGTTGGTTGTGTCGATAAAATAACATATGAAGCAGTGTGGTAAGATCCTGCAGTGATGATTGTCCTAGGAATCACTCATCTAGACAAGTGAGAAAGGGAATGAGTTTACCCACCTATCCATTTTAATAATGCAGGCAAGGACTAGCAGTCTTAATAAGGTTACATTACCGGAGGAAAAAATAAGATCAAGAGATTATTAATGCGTAACGTTCTCATTATGTACAGTGTCTATTACGCATATTGTTTCTGTTTCTGGGCCATTCTTGATTTATCCCATCAAGCACACAACTTTCAGCGAACATGCAAATTTGCGTACTGAATAGAGTATGGTGATTACTTCTGTTTCTGTTTCATCAATTCTGAGCTCCAATGCTCATGTTCAACACTTTTCTGCTTTCTCCGTTCAAACATTATCATTTCTGATTGGTGTCTCGTTCATGCGACTATAGTTGGTGTTCCATTTCAGTTTGTGTTCTCTTTTTCCTGTTATTGATGTTGCCATGTGTTCATTGAAATTATCTGATAATTCACTGTGTTTTTCAATATCATGGTGCTGGTAAGAGGTCTTGGTCGGCGTCAGTTGTCCCCCCTGACAAGGTAAGTTGTTTGGCATGTCTGGAAGGTTGTGTTGTGCATGGTGATGATGGGACTTCGTAAACTATAGCAACAAAGAACTTGAAAGGCTAATAATATTCAAGTGCATGATCGATACAAGTAATCCTTGACTGAAAAAAGAGTCATGCCTTTTTGTAGGAAATGGCGTTACTTCGGGGCAACAAGGAGTGCCTATTGCTAAGGCCAAAAACAAACAAATAAATACTCATATATTAGATCGCATAGATGAGGCAAACATGAAACAAAGCAACTTGCTGGTCGGGCGACTCCTAAATATCACCCATCATTCGTGTTTAAGGCACTCATGGAAGCATGAAATAAGGTTAAAATCATGATGAAGCATTGCGAAGATCAATATAGCAGATAATCCAGCTATAGATTATCACCAGCAATACATTTACGCTTGAGAGGGCAGGTGATATCTGCACTCCACCTCTAGTTAACTATACTTCCACTTGTCCATTTTCCTTTTTTTAAATGACTAAAATATCTTCGGAAGAAACTAAACTAAGCCTAGTATTTTCACCACAAGTCACCTCTATTCATCCATAGTTTTAAATCACAAACAGTTGAAAAAACAATAACGATAGTCATTGTGGATTACAGCTTATTATAATACTAAAATAACAATAATAGCATACTTCAAAACCATTACATAATGACCGTTATATAACGTAACAGCCGTTATTTAAAACTATGCCTTCATTTGTACCCAACTCCCTCTCCCTTTTACGTCTCATAAAAAATTCACTGACTCATATTCAAATCTCCAATCAATATCATTCTCCAAAACCCACATATCCACTTCCCCTCAAATCTTTAGTACTCATTTCAACTTGGAGGAAAAAAAAAAAAAAAAAAAACCTGGAGAGTACATAAATACATACCAGAGGTGAGTCATTTCCATAGTAAAATGTAAATAAGAAAGTGGCCATGGGAGATGAGATGCCTACCATGTGTTTTGACAAATTGCTTATGATGATCAATATCTACTTTCTTGATGTTGCTTGAGAATCCATTTGCTTTTTAGCATTATGTCTCGTCGTGAATCTTCTTTCAATTCTCAGTCATCCAATTTACATCTTCAAACGAGCTCAATTATTTAAAAAAAAAAAAAAAAAATCTCAAGTGTACAGAGGCAATAAAAGAAATAGGGATGATTGCGAAGGATGATATTGATGGGAAGATTTTAATATGAGTCGGTTTGTTTTCGATGGAAAGCATAAGCACGAGGGAATCAGGTAAAGATGGAGGTGACCAAGGGTAGAGATGGAAGGCATGGTTCTGAAGATATTTTGGTCATTTCATAAAAAAAAATGGATGGGTGGGAATGTGGGTAGTTAACTAGAAGTGGAGTGCCAAATGCCAATATCACCTCCCTGTTGAGAGATTAATTGAAAAAAAAAACCTAGCTCTAACATAGAAACTACAGAATTGAATATGCAAGTTTACATGTGCAGAACAACAATTGTTAGCCATGCTTTATACACAGAGACAAAGAAAACGCTTACTATCAACTTGCTTCAATTATATACCATCTGAATACGGAGATTGAGCATTTTCTATTGAAGTCGGATCATTGTTGCTGGATTGAAACAACAAATACAAAACCTCATATCTCATGAGGCATAACAATGTCTAGAAGAGGATTAATGTAATCCCCAAACTACTTCAAACTGGAACATAAGCACAGAATGATATCAGATCTCACCACTTTCACTTTAGCAGGAGACACACAATTAACCCAAAAAGCACCAATTCCACGAGATATTATAGATTTTGATTCCTTTTTTTTTTTTTTTTCTCCTCTTAATAACTGATCCAAGTCCATCAAACTTTTACACACATTCTCACTACGACATAGTACATAACCAAGCCAATATAAAACCATTCCCTAATGTGTTATACCCTCTCTATGTATGGGCATGATTTTTCAACTAAACTTCCATTAAACAAGATGCTCTACTCGTATAATTATTTCTTCAACATTAAACCTAATGCTCAAATAGTTTAATTCAATCTCTGGGGTTTAAAAGTGGAAAATGCGTTGAAGCATTACAAAAACCATAACATCATAACTATGAGATTGCAGAATGCCAATGTTTAGCAGCGCGACCATGGGGTGTGTATATATAAGAAAAAAAAAGCCTAGAAACTAGAAATTTGAGCTGCAAGTAACATTGGTACTAAATTTTAGTTGCAAACAATTTACACAAACATGCACTAATGCGAAGATTGCCATCATCTCGCTCAAACTATATACTATCACCACATGGAACAACAGGTGAAAAGACGCTAGAGTACATAAGTGAAAGTTGGCAAGTTCTCGTCAGATCATAATACATATACAAGATGATATAACCTCAATAAGCATTGATTCTACAGTTCTACCTACTGAAAAGATGCCCAACTAGAACGATCTAGTCTATTCAGCAACACACATCATGTAATATGCAAATTGAATTCCCCATATATATATATATATATATATATAGATTAAAAGTCAGGACAGCTAATGCAGAAAAAGACTAAAAGAAATCTCCAACCAAAATAGCACAAAATATCCAAAAACAAATCAAACATTAAGTGACAAGGCATATACCATCAAAATTCTTTAACAATAACCCATTCCTAAGATTGTTCCAGAGGAAAAGTAAAAACAAAAGGAAAAACAGTCCCATTCCTAAGAGGCTCAAATCACAAATTCAAGACAGCATAGATACTAAACACAGATAGCCTAACACATTTCGTCTTCAATTTCAATCTACCTGACAGTAACAATGTCATCAATCTTCAAAATCATCCGCACACACTCTGTTGCCAGTGTTATGGCACTTGTGCTCACAAGCAGAGGCTGAACCACATTCTCCTCTAAAATATTTGTGATCTGCCCCTTCCTCACGTTGATTCCTGCATTGATCTCTCCTTGGGCATGCCTATTCCTTAGTTCAGTCACAATAGTAATTGGATTCAACCCTGCATTCTCTGCCAAAGTATATGGTATAACCTCAAGTGCCTCTGCAAAAGACTTCACACAGTATCCTTCCATCCCATGCAGCACCTTGGCCCATGCTCCAAGCTGTCTTGACAGCTCAATCTCTGGAGCCCCACCACCTGCAATCAAAAACCGCTTACTCACCAAACACCTAACAACACACAAGGCATCGTGCAAGCTCCGCTCTGCCTCATCAAGAACCAACTGATTAGACCCACGTACAAGGACCGTGGTAGTCCTTCCCATATTCTTAATCCCAGTAATCTTCACAATCTTCCCATCTCCAAGTGAAACCTCCTCGACAAGATCTGCATACCCCAGCTTTTCCTCTTTGAAATGCTCAATATTTGCAATAGGCAAACAATTCAAAGTCTTAGTAATGAACTCAATTTCATCCCTTTCCACATCCTTAATCACCAAAATCTTTGCTTTTGCCAAATAATGCAAGGACAAATCCGTCACTGCATCCCTCAAAATACTCTTCTGAATCAACAACACATTACACCCGGTTGCCCTAATCTTCTTAATCATACCCAAAATATAATTCCTCTCTTCCTTCAGAATCCTATCCATTTGTGCATAATCAGAAACCACAATGCTCTGCTCAATATCAGTCTTCGGTGGGGAAATCTGAAACTGAATAACTGCAATCTTTGCATTCTCAACACGCGTAGGCCCACCTGCCGCATGACTCACTTTCTTATCAAAAACCAAACCCTTAACCATCTCCGTATCATCCACAGTTCCGCCAAGCTTTTTCACTATCTTAATATCCCTAAGATCAACTACATCCGGCTTGGCAGGATCCACAACAGATAATACGGCATCAACAGCTAATGGAGCTAGCAATGACGAATATTGACTAACTACTTTACTGTTTAATGAAGTACTAGCAGACTTCACCAACGAATCACAGTCTGTTAACTCTAAAGGCACGGCCATTGCAGTTAAAACATCAACAGCTTTAATTGAAGCTTTATGTAATGAATCTGAGATTACCGTCGGGTGGATACCAGAGGAGAGGAGTGAAAGGCACTGCTTAAGCAGCGATCCGGCTATAACAACGACGGTGGTGGTGCCATCACCAGCAGAGGCGTCTTGAGATTTAGAGAGTTCAACAAGCATCTTCGCTGCCGGTTGGAGAACCTCCATCTTGTTAAGAATGGTGGCGCCGTCATTGGTGATGATGACTTCGCCGCTCGCCGTTGAAATCATTTTGTCCATTCCTTTAGGACCAAGACTTGTTCTGACAGCGTCAGCCACCGCGCAAGCTGCCTTGATGTTGGCATGGCGGATGTCTTCTTTCCGTTTGTTGTCGACGTACGACTCGGTTTTGGAAGATCTAGGAGCAGAGTTCGCTACAAGTGCCATCGATTTTTTTTTTTGAGAAAACCTAACCCTAATCAGTGTTGAGAGAGTGTGAGCTGGGTAGGGAGGTTAGAGGTAAATGAGGAAGAGAGAAACCCTAGCGAGTGACGAAGTAAGATCGAGAGAATTCTGTAAATGAAGAAAAAAGAAGGGGTTTTAAACGGCGGAGCGACTAAAATTTTTAAAATAGAGAAATGGTGTTGATGCCTTGATGGTTACTTCAATTTATTTATTTATTTATTATTATTTTTGTTTTACAAGTAAGTAAAATGTTTTTACAAGTAATTTAGTAATTTAGTTTTATTATTATTTATTATTAGTTCAAAAGTATTTTAATCACTTAAATAATTGATTTTAAATTCATGTTTTTACGTATTTTTCAGATAACTGTTCCTGCCTTAGACCTGAGACCTTGGAGAATCCAAAATAAATAACTAAATTTGATAGAAATGAATTTACTTCAAATGGTGGAAGAAAAAACCATAATGTTGCTAACATTATTTGAATAATTCAGCATGATTCATTTTGTATTTCAATGGAGATTAAATATTTCTTTTGAAATTATTTTTTTTTCAGAATAATTTTGAACTCATAAATTCCATATTATTCTAGTATGTTAATTTTTTTTTTAAAAAAAATTAACTTAAAAACTATAAAAGGAGCAAACTTTCTTAACAATCATACAATTCTTTGAGTTATTGAATGACTAATAGTGGAGTGGTATATAATATTACAAGGTGTTAAATAGACCTTTTAGTTCTAGATAGAATTAAACAAAATATATTTAGTCAAAAAATGTTTAAATATTCGTGTAATGATTTTTTTAATGAAATATTATAAAAATCTTTTTCTTTTTTCACAAATTAACGAATTTTTTTTATATAAATCCAAATTATAATTAATTGTATACTTAAGGGATTGTCTCCATTTTCGCATTTTTTAAAACAAAGTAAAAAAAAAAGTGATTGTTTTGAATTTTTCATTTAAAAACAAAACCACCAATCACAATCATAAGTTTGAAACCCATTTTGTTTGTTTTTGAAAAATTTTGACGACTAGCGTTTTATTTATTTATTTATATCTTTTTTAAAAAATAAAAATAAATAAATAAAATAATAAATTATTTATTTATTTATTTATGATTTCAAATTTGATTTTTAAAAAACATAAAATAGATGTGAAAATGATACCAAGTAATTACTTAGTTAGTGTATTAATTTTTTTTTTCAATTAGACTTAAAGCTTCAACGGTTTATATTTCATCGAAGTGACAAGAAATTAAAAATAATTTTATTTAAAACCGCAAATGATGAATTCCAGAATATTTATATTACTATATCTTTTATTGCTCCTATAGTATTATGGAGAATTCTGAATGTTTGAGAATCCAATTAGAATTTCTTTGGGAAATTGTTGCAAAGTTAAGGACTTATTAAAAAAAAAAAAAACTCAACAGTTTATTTGCAAAATTTTAACCCTTTTTTCAAAGAATAATAAAATATAAGGCAAAACAAAAGTATGTGATGAAAGCCCAATGGGCCTAAACTCTTCCAAAAAAGGATCAATATTTAAAAGCCAAAAATATCGTAGGGCAATCCGCTTTTCGCTCTTCGAAGTTTCTGTTTCGGGAACAAAACGTCTGGACTTCCCACAGGCCACAGCCGCCCCTCCTCTGCCTCTCCCTCTCTCTCTCTCTAACAAAAATCTACCAGCGTAGTATATGATAAACAACCTTATTATATCACTTTCTTTCTCTTCTGCACTACAGTTTTAACAACATTAAGTTATTGTAAGAATAGAATTACATAGCCGAAAACGCTATTTCAAACCAATGTAACAAAAACCCTTCTAAAACCCCAGCAAGCAACAAAGAAAAGGAAAAAGCTTGCTGTATCAGAATGAACACAATCATGTCTCTAAGACCCACTTCGACCAAAACAACAAAATCTATCCATTTCCATTTCAAAACTAAAACTACCCTTAAACCATGTTTACTTTCTTTATCCTCTTTTGTTCCCCTTAGAAGCCACCAAACCCTATCTTTTACTAACCAGCTTGTGCGGCCTCCTCGATTGAGGCATCATGGGGTTTTGGCAGTCAGGTGTTTTGGTGCTGCTAATGTTCATTCGAAAAAACTTGCTTTGCCATATATGTCTATGCAGAGCTTGAATTATAACAGGTTTGCTTACCGGGATGTTTCTAGTGATGAGTCGGATTATGAATTGGGGTCATCCCAGAAGGAAATGGTTGGTTTTTAGTTTGATTTTTTCTTTTTGGGTTTTATAATTTAACTCTTAGAAGAGTGCTTGTTTTCAATTCTCACTGAATATATAGTTTGCTTCAGCTGTCTTTTTTGTCCTTTTGAATAATAAATTATGCCGATTTTCAGCACGCTAGAGGAAAGCATGTAACATGTTTGTTTGTTTTTTTTTTTTTTTTGGTATCACTGTCCAGGCATGGGGTTTAAGAAGGAAGAGAATTGAGGCAATATGTAGTCTTTTTTAAGAAATTGAAATTCTTGACTTCTTAAGCAGATAATGAACAATATTATCACTCATACAAACTGTGATTCTTATTTGCGGTTGATTCTTGTCTGTCAGACAGGTTCGACTCTCGATAATGTTGATGATTGGAAATGGAAGTTAACTATGCTTCTTCGCAATAAAGACCAGCAAGAAGTTGTATCAAATGAGAAAAAGGACAGACGTGATTTTGAGCATCTATCAGCTGTGGCAACCCGAATGGGTTTACACAGGTACTTCTAATCTTTTCTTAAAGCGTGACCTTTCATTTTACTGTTTCTTTATTGTAACCATTGCATGCTTAGTTTGAATACAATTTATTTTTTGCAGCCGTCAGTATTCAAGAGTTGTTGCGTTTAGTAAAGTCCCTTTGCCAAATTACAGACCTGATCTGGACGATAAGCGTCCACAGAGAGAGGTATTTTCTTTTCTTAGTGTGTCCCATGCTGTCAGCATAGTACAGTTATAATTAGAACAGTGGAATGGATTGATATACTCTGACCTTTTTGTTAAAAACTTGCCTCAAATACTTCTCAGCTCATAAAATCCAGGTGGGCAGTTACTGTTCTTATCACTAATTGAAGTATGTGAATAATTCTTTAGGGTCGAAGTTTCTTGATTCATATAATTCATTGATTACAATGTTCTTGAGAAACTTATAGGTGACCTTACCTTTTGGGTTACAAAAAGAAGTAGATGCTCATCTCAAAGCTTACGTTTCCAAAAAGCCCATGAGCAGAGGATTTTTTTCTCCCGACTCCTTGTCAAGATCAAGCAGTGGTGGGAGTATGAACACTGATGAAGGAATCTATGAGCAGCCAGAATCTTTAGTACAAAATAGTCCTGCCATGGAGAGAATTCTCCATCGGAAGAGTTTGGAGCTTCGTAATCAACAAAAAGAGTGGCAGGTAATTTTTACCCTGATCAGTTTCACAGAGTTATCTTTTGAAACAACTGCCCTTCTTGTTAGTCCAGTCCTTTTGCAGTATAACTTATCATTTTTTTCTTAACTGGAAGAAAAACAGTGGTGCACTAGTGTAGGTTATGATATCTTAGTGGTGTGTGCCTCAGTACAGTTTTTGAATGTTCTAGGATTTTGTGTGAAGCAATTGCTATATTTCTTGTAAAATTTGGTAGTGGTTCTTCCACTTTTCTTGGCGTTATGTTTCAGGAAGTACATGAACATTTTAAAACTTTTGTAAATTTATTTGCAGGGATAGGCTGTATACTAGATATGCATGTTAAACATCATTAATTGTATTTTGTTCCTGCAGGAACTTTTAAGCTTCTGTTGCCAAATTTGTTACCATATGCTTGTATAAGGAGTCAAATTTAATTTGTAATGAGTTGAGAATTTTACCTCTTATTTTCTACAATATACTCACTTATCATTGCAAGTTTTGGTGTTGATGGATGCTACTTTTTGTGTAGGAATCTCCTGAGGGCCAAAAGATGATTGAATTTCGTAGAAGCCTTCCTGCATATAAAGAAAGGGATCTGCTGCTAAAATTCGTATCTGAAAATCAGGTGATTATGATATGTTTATTCTTGTACTTAGACTTTGATTGCAGTCCTTATCTTTATGAGGTTGTAACTCCTGCTAGGACTCTCCTTTTTTCTTCAATTTCCGCATTTCTTCTTATTTTAAAGGCTCTTTAGTCAAAACCAAGATGACACTGCTTAGTTTTTCAGTAAAATTTGTTCTCTTGGGATTCTTGGACAAGTTTACATGCCATCTCAAGGATGCATGTCTCTCCTCTTTGGTTGTTGAGCAAGTAGGATTATATGCTATAGCATTGTTATATGGATACTTTAATGCAGATGGTCTGGATCACAAACAATATTTGTTTTTAAACAACCCATCGAATAGTTAAACAGTGACAGTGTATCAATTAATTCACATGTAGGCTGTACTGTGTTATGTGTGGCAATGCAAGGGAAGGTCTTGTACTGGTGGAAATAAATTTCAGTTTCGAAACTATATAGCTCAATTGTAAGCAGTGCTGTCTTCAATTCAAGTACGTGCATCCTTAATTGTAGGAAACAAGAATTGCATAGAAAGGAGCAAGCAGCTTAGGCAATTAAAAATTGAAGAGTTAAAACAAAATTAATATACCACGAAGGAGTTGCCCCTCAAGAATCCTGCTTTGATAATTAAGTTGTGCAGAACTCCATCTCTTGAATGTAATCTGGACTTCTTAAGTCATGCTGGTGATGGATGTGTGCCTGAACATATGATTATGTTTGCAACTAGCACAATGTCTTGTCCTCACAAATGGACCATTTATAATTATACCAAACTGATAAATGTTGCAGGTTATTGTTGTCTCTGGCGAAACTGGTTGTGGTAAAACCACACAACTTCCACAATACATACTAGAATCCGAGATTGAAGCTACTCGCGGAGCCGCTTGTAGTATTATATGTACACAGCCTAGAAGAATATCGGCTATGTCTGTTTCTGAAAGAGTTGCTGCAGAACGAGGGGAGAAACTGGGAGAATCAGTTAGTCCATGCCTCTGATATGACAAATCTTTTATTAAAAATAGGAGCTTATCAATTATTTTGATCTCTGCTATTTTGCTGTCAATTTTAAAGGTTGGTTATAAAGTTCGGCTAGAGGGTATGAAAGGAAGGAACACTCGACTTCTATTTTGTACTACTGGCATATTGTTGAGGAGATTACTTGTGGACAGAAATTTGAAAGGTGTAACTCATGTCATTGTTGATGAGATTCATGAACGTGGAATGAATGAAGGTAACTTGGAATTCATTTGAGATATTTGTTGGTACATCATTTTATATTCACCATTGTTCTGTTATTTGTCAGATTTCCTTCTTATTGTACTGAGAGATCTGCTTCCTCGTCGGCCGGAGTTGAGATTGATTTTGATGAGTGCAACCTTAAATGCTGAGCTTTTCTCTTCCTACTTTGGTGGTGCTCCAACAATTCATATTCCTGTAAGTCCTGCAGTGCTAATTTCTGTCCTCATAAAGTGCAGGAAACCCATTCATTATTTTTGAAACCAGCCAGCAAAGATCTATCAATTTTGCTGCATAATTGTACTGCTGGATTAACCTCGTAGCTGATTGCAAGTTACTACTTATTAATTATGGTCGACTGTTCAGATTTCTGGAATGCCTTGATCCTCATCTGCTTGACTGCTCTTTCTAGAGTTTCTTCCACTCCTTTTTTCAGTTTTCTAGTGTTCATTTGTTCTTTTGCCACCCTTGTTTCTGGCGCAGTCCATTGGCATACCTCTCTGCATAGTCCATTACAGTTCAAATTAACTCTTGATTATTGAATGATTTCTGGATAGTTCATTGTTAATATTTTCTGGTTAGTTTCCTGTCATTCATAAATAACCTATGCGTTGGAAAATAGTTCTTCTCTCTGGGAAAAAATGGTCCTAACATTGTGTATTATATAGAGCATGATATATCTTCCATGTGAAACACTTTTTGCTTCAGATTACGTATTATGTCACTTGATTTATGTGAGGGTTTTTTTCGCCCTTATGGAGGAATATTTATCTATTATCTTTTACATTCCATTGTACATTGTCAATGACCCAAGCCAAATTTCAAAGTTTAGGTTAAAAATCCTTACTAACGTGTCTTTCCTGTGTCATTTTCCTTCTCAGTGTGAAATATGTGATGCCTTCAAGCTGGATTTTGTATGAAATATATGAGCCAATGGGCCATCTTTTTTTTTGGGTGCCATCTGGAGTTAGATTTACCTTGGTCAGTGTTGAAATTGTTTGTGTTCTTATGGTTAATTGTAAAGGAGTATAAGGTCAAAATTTGGAAAACTGCCTCTTCTTACATTATCTTCTTTAATTCAATGGAGAGAATGCTCTTATGGTCAGAGAGTGGTGCCTCTTACCGAAGCCTTACCTGTTCTTTTTCAAGTCAATCTTCATGCTTTCTTTCATGTTAAAAAATGACAGTCGATTGTTACAAGAGTAACTGTTAAGAGTTTAATTCTAACTGTTTAATGCATGCTGTGTTAGCAAATTGAGGGTAAATTGTCTGCAGTACAAGAGATATAAAAAAAAAAGGATTAAATGATTATTTGGTAAGAAAATAATTAATTTGGAAGCGTGGGGCTACTTGTACACATACTTTGTTTGGATGCTTGACTTGGGATCTGTCAAACTGAAGCAGAGTTATTGGCAAGTAAATATAAGACATGTAAGACAAATTTTGTGAGACCACATGCTTTGACTTTTAGTCAGTTAGAATGTAGCAAACAATATGGTCTGGATTGGATGTAGTACTGATCTATAAAATTGGTTGATGCACACATATGTAGTTTTAATCTGCTGTTGATTAGAGTGCAGTAGAAAAAACAAAGTAGTGGGGTGTGCAATAAGAATGAGTAAACACATCACATTTTTATGTCAGTCTTAGTGAAAAACACTTAACAATGGCTACTCTCTTATGTATCCAATCTTTTAAGAGAAAAAGGCATCAGATCTTTCCCCCTATTTACCCCCAAACCAAACTCCCTGAAGATGTAAAAGATTGCGCTTCTCTTGTTAATTTTACTGGTGATATAACTTCTCGGTGTGCATTATTTTTGTTCTCTTTTCTCTTTGGTCATGCATCCATTTTTTTTTTTCCTTTTAACTTATGTTAGATACGACTATTGCTTCTGATAACATATTTTATTGATCCAAAATTAGAAATAGCATGGCCTGATTGCTTGGTAAATTGAACTCTCCTTTCTCTTTTTGGGTGGTGATGGTTTTCTCCCTATTTTTGCAGGGTTTTACATATCCTGTCCGTGCACAATTTTTAGAGAATATTCTTGAAATGATCGGGTATCGGTTGACCCCTTACAATCAAATTGACGATTATGGTCAAGAAAAAACATGGAAAATGCAAAAACAAGCTCAAACATTCAAAAAGAGGAAGAGCCAGATTGCTTCTTCCGTTGAGGTATATAAATTCATGAAATTGTCTGATTCATGTAGCATGCATGAGTTTGTTTTTTCATCAAGCTATCTTTTCTCTTAAAACTTTTTGACAGGATGCTCTTGATGTGGCTGACTTTAAGAGTTATAGTTCACGCACTCGGGAGTCTTTATCCTGTTGGAATCCTGACTCGATTGGTTTTAACCTCATTGAGCGTGTGCTTTGTCACATAGTTACAAAAGAGAGACCTGGTGCTGTGTTGGTTTTTATGACTGGTTGGGATGACATAAACTCTTTAAAGGATCAATTACAAGCTCATCCTATCTTGGGTGATCCTAGCAGAGTATTGTTACTGGCCTGCCATGGTTCCATGGCCAGCTCTGAGCAGGTGATTTCCTTGTTTTCCATATGATATTGAAATATCGCATAAATGAAATCCGTAATGTTTTCTTTTTGCCATTTTTTCTTGTTGCCCACGTTTTTGTTATTGTTTGGATATATGCAATGAATTTGTATTGTTTAATCCAATGATTGTCATTATCCTGATTCCTGATTGTCTTGTTTTCATCCAGAGGTTAATATTTGATAAGGCCGAAGATGGAGTGAGGAAAGTTGTTCTAGCTACAAATATGGCAGAGACTAGTATTACTATCAATGATGTGGTATTTGTGGTTGACTGTGGAAAGGCAAAGGAGACATCATATGATGCTTTAAATAATACTCCTTGTTTGCTTCCATCGTGGATCTCAAAGGCTGCTGCACGGCAAGTAAGGCCCACTCTCTTGACTTTAAAAGAGTTAGCATGGATGTCCGTAGGGAATTGGCCAGAACATTTATTCAATGTTTGATCTTGTTTATAGCATGGACTGTCCTCGTAAATTCTTAAGCACCAAGCAAACGGTCCTTCCTGAGGCTTTTTTATAGTCCTAAAAGCAGCATGTTCTTTATTAGTTAAGTTCTTAGATTTTAAACTGCATTTTTTACACTCTCTATATACTTAAGAAACTCTCCCAAGCATACTCATTTCTGCAAGCTAAAAATCATTGCGAGTGAAAGTTCCAACTGCGCTTGATAAAAACTAGTGAGTGGTAATTGTGAAATACGGTCTTCCTTTCTGGGTCTTTGGGATAAATAATACAGGACAAAACAAAGGGAGGTAGACTTTCATCCAAATCCAAACATGTGATTACTTTAGGTGCAACTTGTGCAGTTTTTTATTTTTATTTACAATAATGTTTCAATCTGCCTGAATATTTTGACATAGCTCCGGCATGAAATATGCTATTGGTTTTCCTCATGCTTGCTGTTGCACAAGCTATTTTTTACGTAATTAAAATGATTCATGGATTTTTTTTTTAAAGGTTATAGTTTCTCTTGACAATTACTTTTGCATTGAGAGTTAATTTTCTGGTTTGGTTCTACTGGTGTTCTGCGTTTATTATTCAGAGAAGAGGAAGAGCTGGTCGTGTTCAACCTGGGGAGTGTTATCATCTCTATCCCAGATGTGTTTATGATGCTTTTGCAGACTATCAATTACCAGAACTTTTAAGGACACCTTTGCAGTCTTTGTGTTTGCAAATCAAAAGTCTCCAACTTGGAAGTATATCAGAGTTCCTATCAAGGGCCTTGCAGCCACCAGAGCCTCTGTCGGTAATTTGTCATTGAGCCTGTTATCAAAATCTGCGTATTGATGGATTCATCTTGTACTTGTGTCAGTCTTTTGGCTTGCCATTTTAATTATTGAGTTTTAACACGTTGCTCCAATATGTGCTTTTTTTTTTTTTCCTTTTTCTTTCTACACTTAAGTTTTCCTAATCCATTTTGTGCTGTAGGTTCAAAATGCTGTTGAGTATTTGAAGCTGATTGGGGCTTTAGATGAGAATGAAAATCTGACAGTGCTAGGTGTGCAGCTACTTTTTCTTTTAAATCCATTTTGTAGCTCATATCCAATTTTTCTGAGCCGTTTTTAAGATAATGGTTAATTGTTCAAATAATTGATGCTAAATCAGGATTTGGTGCTTTTCAGGACGTCATTTGTCAGTCCTTCCAGTTGAGCCTAAGCTTGGGAAAATGCTCATACTTGGGGCTATTTTCAACTGCCTAGATCCAATAATGACTGTCGTTGCCGGTCTTAGTTTCAGAGATCCATTCTTAATGCCATATGACAAGAAGGATGTAAGCCTCCACTATTGATATAGTTTTGCCTGATGTTGATTCATTTTTAGTGGGTAATAGCTGAGATTGTTTTCTTCACATGTTTAGTTTACTATAAATATCATCACATGTTGATTTATTTTTTGGCATATATGCATAAATATAGGTTAGAATTGGTTGGAGGGTATGAGGGCTTTAGCTCGGAAACTTATGCTTTGTTTACCTGATGTATGTGATTGAGGTACAATAGAAGCCTTTTTAGAGGCAAGGAATGAACTCCTTTTGATATTGAGCGAATGTTTCTGAGGACCTTGTTCTATTGGTTACCTATGCATATTTCTTTTTCTAGTTTTTGTACTTTTCAGATGATTTGGATTTCTTGAGTTCAAGGCCTTGGCTCTTTGTTCTTCATGTTTCTTTTGTTGTTGTTTGTTAACTGTGCAGTCATATGAATCTACTTGATGAAATGGAAAATGAGTTTTTTTATCTCAACATTCTTCTTCTTTGAATTTAGATTGTAAGATTTAGAATTAGCAGTTCTGAGATGCAGAAAAAGGGTTTGTTGACCAAGAAATGTACACAAGAAACCATGTCTTTATCCCTTTTCCCCTTTGTGTGCAAATTTCAACAAGAGTAACTTCTCATGCTGTTAGCTAACTTTCAATTATTTATACCTCGATGGGTTGCTTTGTCAGTGGGAGGGATGAGTTGAAATTTATGATAATGTTAAAAGATAAATTTCATGTTGTGAAATACAAGGACTCAGTGAATTACTTACAATTTTTTTTTTTTCTGTCGCAGCTTGCAGAGTCTGCAAAAGCACATTTCGCTGGTCGTGATTACAGTGACCACCTTGCACTTATCCGGGCCTATAATGGTTGGAAAGATGCAGAAAGACAACAATATGATTATGAGTACTGTTGGAAGAATTTTCTTTCTGCACAGACTCTGAAAGCCATTGATTCCTTAAGGAAGCAATTCTTTTACTTGCTCAAGGATACTGGCCTGGTTCATCAGCAGCCAGAAAATTGCAATGCATGGGGCATTGATGAGCATCTAATGCGAGCAGTCATCTGTGCAGGCCTGTTCCCTGGATTGTGTTCTGTTGTGGTGAGTCATACTGTAATTTTGCTGTGTATTACTCTTATTCTCTTTGATTTTGCAGTTTTTTTGAGATTCAAGAAACAGTTACTATTCCTCGCCTCTTGCTTCCTACTTCTGTTTGTCCTACAACCTGAAGTTCCAATGAGCAAAAGAGAATGAATGGTGCATTGGGCTTTTGTTCAAGAAATGAAAGGAAAAAGTGTGCTTGGGTAGGTCAAGCAATAGAAGAAAAACTGTGATGGAGGGCTAGGGCCTTTCTAATAATTGGAACATAATCATAGGCGTTCAATACTAGTAATTAGTGGACTTGTTCTTGTTGAGATGATATGATGTCTGCATCTTATGATTTTTTTATGTAGAACAAGGAGAAGTCGATAGCACTGAAAACAATGGAGGATGGTCAGGTGCTTTTGTACTCAGTAAGTCTCTGATCTTGAGATACTATGGTCTTCCTTGAAGGCCTTGTTTTGTCTATCCTGTTTTTAATCGTGAATGCCACCACATTCAAATTTATAATCATTCATTTGTTTTCCTGAATGTATTTCACAACAGAATTCTGTGAATGCTGGGGTGCCCAAAATTCCATACCCTTGGTTGGTTTTCAATGAAAAAGTGAAAGTGAATTCAGTTTTTCTCCGCGATTCAACTGGTGTTTCTGATTCCATGCTGCTTTTATTTGGAGGAAAAATTGAAAGGGCTGGACTAGTAAGTTGTTTAATGTTTTTGTGTTTCTCTTGGGATGTTTTGTTCTTGATGGAAGGCTCTCTTCTTTTTCATTTATGTTTATGCTTCTTTTTGCTGAAACTATTTCTTTCCTTTTTCTTTTCTTTTTTGGGATAGGATGGACACCTAAAAATGTTGGGAGGATACTTGGAATTTTTTATGAAAGACACATTAGGAGAGATGTATTTAAGCTTAAAGAGAGAGCTTGATGAACTAATTCAGAACAAAGTAAGTATTATTTTTTGTGCTAGTGTTCAAATTATTTGATGATTTGATGCATTTAGAGCTCAAGAGTTATCTACCCACCCTATTCTAGTCATTGGGTATTGATTTTTTTTTTTTTTTGGCAGCTTCTAGATCCCAAGATGGATATACAGTCCCACAATGAGCTTCTGATGGCAATAAGATTGCTGGTTTCAGAGGACCAATGTGATGGTAGATTTGTATTTGGTCGACAGCTGCCAGGACCTTCAATGAAGGCAGAAAAGGCTAAAAATGTCTCTGGTGATGGGGGTGACAATAGTAAGGGTAAGCTTCAAACTTTACTAGCGAGGGCAGGACATGAAGCTCCCACTTATAAGACAAAACAACTGAAAAACAACCAGTTCCGTTCTACTGTTATCTTCAATGGGTTGGACTTTGCGGGGCAGCCTTGCAGCAGTAAGAAACTTGCAGAAAAGGATGCAGCCGCAGCAGCTCTACTTTGGTTGAAAGGGGAGACCCATTCATATTCCAGAAATACTGACCATGTGTCAGTACTTCTGAAGAAGAGCAAGACCATAAATGAAAACAGAATCCCAGTTCGTGGTGGTAAATGGAATTAGGGTGATGATAGAGAGAAGTGATGAACTATCAATATCATTTACAGAAAGGAAGAACTAAAGCTTAGTTGAATTGTATTTTAAGTTAGGAAGGATGCAGATTGTTTTACTCACTGGAATATTTTGTGAACCTGCATGTTGGATCCAGATCTTTCAGGTTTAAAATGGCAGCTGAAAGGAAACCCAGACTTCGTCACACCTCTTGTTTTTTTATAAAGGTGTGAGATATAACATGCTCCAAAGTCAGAAGCTTCCATTCCTACCCAGTTGAGTAGAAGACAAAACAATATATCTTTGCACTGGTCCTGTATGCGTCAGTTCAACGATCTCATCGATTCACATATATTGCTGAATGAAAGGGCCACTGTCACTTCTACATCTGACTGCTGTTAGTAGAGTGAATGATTAGCATTACCATTTTTACCAAAAGAGAAACAAGTGAGGGTTCATTTGTAAAACAAAAAATTTACACTGCATTTGTCCATTGTTTTGTCCACCATTTTTTGGTAACTGATGCCATAAATGGTAAAGCTTCCCCAACAGAAACCTTTTACCTTCTAGCATTAGAAGATGAGGTGAACTTGCACAGCTTGGCACGTGGGAAGCCCTGAGATCAATTGAGCTTGTCAGAATTGTTGTACAGTCTAGTAGGTAATATACTTCTCATCCACTGTTGACTATACCATATTGGTTACGAGATAAATGTTTTATATTCTTTGGTTCTAGATATAAAAGATGTTTTGAGGCATGGCTTTACTGTCAATATTTTTATATCGTTTCCTTGTTCTTTGATCTTTGATAAAGTTACATATATGTTGCTGGACTTGATATCATGATTTTGTGATTTCATTTTACAGTTTAATATTTGCTCGAAAATTGTCAAAAATGTGGAATAGTTTTTGTTCGTGCTAATCAAATTGATGATTAATTAAAATTGAATAGTCTCTCTGTTTTTTTTTTTGGATAAAATTCCATTTTTCAAATTAAAATGGTGAGAATAGCATTTTTTTTACATGGATTGTTATTTCTTATTATGTATGCCGTTCATTTTGAAATATAAAATCATGCTAAGTTGATGTCATGTTGCACACCTGATAATGAACCCAATTAAAGTAACCATTCGTAGCTATTAAATGGCAAATAGCTACCGAACAAGTTAGAGAGAGCAAGCTAGGCCTGCCCTTGTGTATGTCACTATGTCCTATACTGAATTGCTCTTGAGGCTGTAGTGGAAGTTGCAGCATCCTTGTCTGCTTGAATGTTCCCGTATCGCTAGTTGCTACTACATATTGCTTAGCAGTTCTTTGCTGTAGCTCACTAGGTATTGAGTCCAAAGTTTAGAGCTTTCTTTTCCACATGGTTCGCCCTCGAACAATCTCTTCACTTTCCTCCTTATCTCCTGTAATCTGTAGAAGATGGGTGTATGTTTGCAAGGACTTATTGTGGTTACAGTCCTGAAACAAAGCTGATGCTAGTGAATTTGCCTTGTCAACATTACTACTCTCGTGATGTCTTTCTTCATAACTCTCTTCTTCAGGTTCGCATAATGATTGAACTACGTCTGAACTGCGACATTCTCTTCTATACTCGAGAGTTATTCTGGTTAGCTGGTAGTTCTTCAAAAATTTGTGAGGGATGGTCTGTGTAGGAAGCAATACATTAGAATTCTCTTGTTTGGCTATCCAAATTTTGTAATGTGATGGGTTTGCTAAGGAAGTTATATGTCTTTACCTCCAGCGTCCAGTTTACGTACTTAACATTGTTCACATGTTGATTCATATCCAAGTCACTTCTCTTGGGCTACATAGAAAACAGGCAAGTCATCAGCATATTCGTGAGCCTAGATTGAGGGAAAGAGTATGATCATTTTTGTTGGTTGATTTATGCATGTATTGTTCTTTAGATGGAGAAAATTGTACAATTACCGTATATATATATATATATATATATTTGAATCTTTTTACCTTTAGCAGCAAAGTGTTAACTTTGGTCTAGCCAAAGTCTGTGTTAGTATTATAGAAGGTCTACTTTTGAGGATATTACCTTCAAGTTGCTGTTTGTAAATTTGGCAGTCTTGTTCAGCTTGTTTATTTTTTCTGGAATTTCTTCTTCAAATGCTTTCTTTTCTATAAACCAAGGTGAAATCTCTTCTCTGACTACTACTGGCATTTTTGAAAGCCGTCTAGTTTGTTGGTTCATCATCACCCAAGTGCTGTGTAACATTTGCAGCACCTTATTAGAGAAACCAAGAAAAAAACATGAAAGAAAATATGCATGATATGTTCAGAGTCATACCTTGTAGCCCGAACTAAGACTTCTCCGGTGGCATCACTTCTGATTAGCCAGTCTCTCCTCATTCCATTTTTCCCTGATGCCCCAACCCATGTGTCAACCTCCATTACTTCACCCCTGCAAAAACCAGTTAGCTTCTCAAGCATTCAATTTTTTTAACTGGCCAAACTTTGACAAGACCTTAGCGGTTCATTCACACAAGTGACAGCATTTACCAGATTGGATATTCATCAACTTGAACTTGCATCCTTGTTACAACCCATATGAGGTTATTCCTTACCATGCCATGTGTCGCACCAAATCCATCACCTAGTAGTCCAGATACCCAAACATGGTTCAATGCTGTTTCCTGCATCCTCATCAGAAGTTCGTAGTTAGATGTTTTAGAATGCTTTCAGTACTCTCTACAAAGACAACATGTTCTCGCTAATAGTTAACCTGAAGAAGGTTGAGAATGCTCTCTAATGTTGCAGTTTTATCAGCACCAACTTCATAGGACCTTATAACAACAGTCTGTTTGTATCTGACGCCTCCGTCAGTGATGTTCCCCTGACGAAATGGATCAACCGATTGTTTCTCGGTCGGAATATTTTGTCGAGCTTTTGTTTCACTATCATGAGTCAATTCTTTAACAGATGCAACTGAGATAAAGTTTCTCCCCTTACCAGTTACAGAACCTGTTCTGGACATTACATTTCCCTTGAGAGCTACTGTCACAGTCCCATTCGCATTGATGTTCAACGTTTGCTTATGCTCTGGAGTTCTATGCGAACACGAAGTTGGACAAAGAGCTTGATTATACACGGCCTTCATTTCTTTCTTTCTTTTGTTTCTTTCCTAATTTGGAGGACAATGGTTTTTATAGCCAGAGCTGGAAGAAAGTAACAAAGAAATGCACATAGTATTTTGGAAAGTTGTTTTTTTCTTATGCCTTTTTCTGTCCTAAATAAAATTGGGTGCATGCTTACGATAGTTGATGTTTACAAGCAGAATAAATTAAAGATGTGGATTTCCTCAAAGAAAAGGATATGTGATCGGTGGTTAATCAAGAAATGCTTGCATTCATGTAGTTCTGTGATTCTGAAGCAAGTCATCTTTGAATCGATCGATGAAGATGGCAAAATTGCGGCTTTCTTTCTGGAATTCGGAACCATTCGTTGAAAGATAGAAGATTTTCTTGTTTGTTTTTTGATGAATCAAGATAGGAGAATATATATTGTAAAAGGTACCAATTGACAAAAGTAGTTGTCTTATTTGTGTGATTCATGGTAATGACCAAACTACGTAATGCCCTTTCATGCTAATCTCTGTCTTTAACTTCTCAAAAAACATGATTTTCCATATTGGATACTACGTCTGGAATGTCCTTTCAAACTGATCTTTCAAATGTCTATTATTAACTTTTAGGCAGCAAAAAGTTTGCATGTTTTTTTCATATCGGATAACACGAGTCCCGTTAAGAGGAAACAGAAAAAAAAAAAAAAAAATACAAGAGCAAGAAATAGTTGATGGGACAATAGTGCCTAGCAGTAATTGCACTCCAATTTTTGAATATGCTTGAGTTGTGTTTCTATAGTTGCCAAATGGGAAATAGTTAAGTTACAATGATTATTAGGCTTGTCGATGTTTAAAGGGATAGATGGGCATAAAAATTCAAAATGTTGGATACTTCTTAGATAAAATGTTTAAATGAGCCTGTCGATGATGAATATGTTCATGTTGGATGGTGTTTAGATAGAAGTCAAACTAAGTGCGTTTGGAATTGATGGCAGACTCTACTTGTAGCTGTTGGCTGAAGCAGTAGTGGCTGTAGCAGTAGAAAAAAATGTTTCGTAAAATAGAGTTTTTCAACTTCTATCTTTTTTACATGAACCCAATAATAAAAGTGGAGCTAATCAAACAGGTTGGATGCGTTTGGAACTCAAAAAACTCCAAAAGCTCACCTTTCCTCTTTCTCCAAAGGGGCTGCAGCTGATTCCAGACAAGTTATGAGGGCCAAAACCTCTACAAACTTGGCCTAAGGAGCAACGGCTTCAGAATTTCAAATTTTCCTTTTTTTTCCTCCCAGTCTTAATTACTTGATTAGTAGTTCTAATTATGTATTAATTGAAACTACACTCTTCCTATCATGCGATTTTAAGAATATTCCATGCCTTTCTTTCAAAATCAAACGGGGAAAAGATTAGTTGCTTTCACCATTCAAAGATTGGAATAATTGCATTATGAATATATTAATTTTTAATTTTTTTCAATTGAGTATATTAAATTTATTATTATTTTTTCATTTAAGTATACTAACTTTTTTTAAAACTATCAATTAAGTGTTTTCGTTAATTTTTCTGTTAATTGATAATGTGTCTTTTGCCTTCAAAATATCAAATTACAATTTTGCTCAATTTTTCAATTGATTATATGAAATTTAATTTTTTTTATTTGAGTACATCAATTTTTTAAAAGCGCCAATCAAGTACTTTTGTTAATTTCATTGTTAACTAATGAAGTGTTTGAATACTAAATTATATATATTTTTTTCTTTTTTATTGTAAGGAACTTTCTTTCTAAATTATTCTACCATTTTAAAATTTAACAAAAAATAAAAAAATTATTTTTTAGTTGTAAAATCTCAAACTAAACTCGGTTAGATTTGCTGTTTTTTTTTTTAAAAAAAAAACTCGGTTAAGTTTTTCATCAAGAAATTCATTTATTTTTTCCTTCAAGTTTCACTCCTAAACATAATTGAGTTTTTTTTTTTTTTAAACAATAACCTAACCGGGTTTACTTTGAGATTTTATAGTTAAAAAAATATTATTTTTTTAATTCTTTGTCAAATTTTAAAATGATAACATAATTTAGAAGAACGTCCTTTCAATAAAAAGAGAGTAAAATTATAATTTCGTATTTGAACATATCATTAGTTAACGAAAAAATGGATAAAAATACTTGATTGATAGTTTTAAAAAAATTAATGTATTGAAATGAAAAAAATTAAAGTTCATGTACTTGATATTCATGGTAGGAACATTTTGCACCTTTATATAAAGTTTTAACATTAATTCAATTAATATCCATGGTTCAAATTATTTTTCAGATATTCTTTGCATTATTCTACTTCCAATTTAAAAAAAAAAAAAAACCAAATATTCGATGTTTTAACGGCATAAGTCAATTGATTTTTGTAAAATTTATCCTCTTTTTTTTTTTTTTCAAAAAATTATCCAACATTTTGAATTTATCCTTTTTTTTTAAATTTTAAACATAGAAAAATATTATAGTCCAATCCAAGCTTTAATATGCTTTAAAATTCTTATAAAAAAAGATAAAAATGGAGGGTTAGTAGGGTTATTTATGTACAATTAGAAATCTAAAATTAGTAAATTTAAAGGTTAGATTTGTTGATTAAAAACAAAATGATGAAGACTTACCTTTGACTATTTGTGAAGAACTACTTTTAAATAGGTCGGATAAAATTGAGGATTTCAAATTAATATAATTCCAATTAAGCATGATTCAATTAGTTTGAGTTAAACAAAAATAATAATTCAAATTTTGCACCAATTACATAAAAAAATTGTAATAGATCATAAAGAAATAAAATCAACATGCATCGTACAATGTTTGGACAAAATCAAACCAAGAGTTAAAAAAGTGAGCTTTACTTTATAACAAGAAGACAACTATGATGTATGGAATTTGAGCTCTCCCACAAAGCCCACGAAAGCTAGACCTTCTTACGATCATTAGCTATCTTTTTTGAGGCCTCATAGCCACTTAATCCAAACACTCTAACAATATGCCTCATACCTTACATTTTCCACTATTTAAAGGGATTCACTTCCTAATTAAACATTTAAGCCAAATAACTTTAATACATATACATTTTCACAGAGTTTACGATCTTGCTCTTTAAATACCTATATTTTATGCTGAAAAGGCTAACTTAACCATTAGAGTGACTTTGACTAACTCAAGTGTTTGCGTTTGATGTTTGCAAGACTACCATTATTTTGTCTACCCTCTTAAAAAGGTTGAATAATAAATACAATCAATTCAGATGTTGAGAAATCTCACCCATCTTCGCTATCTTTTTACCTTCGCTGAAAGAATTGAAGGACTACTGTTTAGTCTTGGTGGATCTCCGTAACGACTCTTATATTTTGTTCTTTGATTCCACAGGTCTTATCACCTTGAATTAATGCCATCAATCGTTGTGGTTTTGGATGTAAAATTACTAACCTGTTATTTTATCGATTCAAGAATCTGTGAGAAATAATCTCGACGAAGTCTTTCTTCTAAGGCTACAGTGTACAAACAGCGTTAAGAAATTCTTCTGAGCTCCAAATTGACATGTTTTTGCATCTGCAGGAAGACATATTGCGAGTGACAGTTTCAATAAACGCACTCTTTCCCAAGGATGTTTTAGACATTTAAATTCATGATAAAAAAGGTCAAAAGGTAGATGTTGTTAGTTTAGAAAAATGATGATGTTGTGCTGGTAATAGACAGGGAGGCTGTGCCAATATCAATTCCCTAAACTGTATGGTATAATAATCATTGTAATTTATCCAACTTACTTTGGTTTGACATTTAATCGCCTTTTCCCAATATTTTCATGCTCGTGCGAGGGTAGGGGCGGTAGGTGCCTATTTCTGAGTAGTTTGATGACCAAACTCATGTTCAGGTCCTTCAGGCTAACAATTGCCATCAATTAAAGGTGCTTTAGGTGACCATTTACCATCATTCTTATCTTCCGATGTGACATAATCCTTCTCGGTGTTGCAAATGCGTGAGTGGAATCACTGCCTTGTTTTCAGACATCCCATTTTAGAGCCCAGAAGCAAGGTCTATTAATATCTTTATTACTAATGATTAAAGTAAAAACAAAATGGCTATGGGATTCGTGCATCATGCTAGTTTCGGAGACTTTATGTTATACTATATACGACAGGCTATTTCCAATTAAGAAATGCACCTTAATTGGTATATACTAAAGCTGGTAAATATCCTTGTGGTCAACATGGTCAGGTAAAGGTATAAACAATCCATGCCTGGTTGTCTATATAAAGTCTTCCTTTTGAATTCCTTGTAAACATTTTCTTCATTTGCTTCGTAAGATAGGTTACTTGTACAAAAATTAGGAATGTGTGACACTAACAACCAACATGATCAATTGGGTGGATTTTATGAATAAGTGGGGCATTAAAATGATTTTAGTATTAGCTAGGTAGGCCTTTTGAAGATGGAGTAATTCAACATAAATCATAGGATAGTTTTTTAATTCATCAGAACCATTACTAATAATGGGAGAAGCAAAAAACAAGAAAAAAAGAAATGGTAGTGCGTAATGGTAGCTAACCGGTGGGAGTCTCGTGATGCTACAAACTATCTCAGGATGAACATTTGAGTATTAGAAACATAATTTTAAATCGCGAGATAATTGAAAAAACGGTTGCGATCGCTATTACGGATCACGATTTACTATAATATTAAAATAATAGTAACGAGATACTCGAAAATCATTACATAACGGCTGTTATTTAAAATTATGATTGGAATTACCAAAAATTTTGCTGTAAGCACTGATAATGTATAATTTGAAAACTGATAATGATGCAAAGAAGACTCAGTATCCTAAAAAAAAAATGTAGTATATTCACTGATGCAAAAGCTCTAATGCTTTTACCAAAGTGGGTCTAAACCTATTCACATCTAGCGTTACATTTTGCTTCTGTAAATATATTGACTGAAATGCTAACCAACCCTTTTTCCAAAATGCCGAGGGATCCCTCAAAACTACATGGTCGGCAGGGTATTGCCGTATCAAAGTGCTCTCTTCTACCCTGATTTTATAGTCCAAGTACCTTATGTTCATGCCCTTTGCAGGCTCTTCAAAGTATGTTTTTGACAGCCATTCTGCTCCTCCAAAGGGAATTACTTGGACTAAGATTGCATTTTCGGGAAGGAAAACAATGTTGGTTAGACCAGCACCATGAACTCCCATCACCACATCACAGGAGTTAATAATTTGTGCAAATCCTGAAACATCTGCGTCAGGTTCCGCAACAACTACTCTGTATCCCACTCTTTTAGCCATGGTGACAATTTCACCAACATTTGTAAAAGCTCGCGATCTCTTTCTTGAAATGATTAGAAGCCTCGGCCTTTTCTTCATACCGTCCCTGATTTTAATTGCCCTCGTTTTCTTTAAAGAATAGGAATTTCTCAGAAACTCCCTGAAGTCCTTCATAGAATTTGGAGAGTTCGAAGGATCAATACTCAGCTCCTGACGGGATTGACGTTTAAGGCCGACTGTCACGCTATCGAAGCAATGTATATCTTGTCTGTTATCAATGCTGATGAGCTGATATCTAGACAGTGCTTTCAGTATTGTTTTGAACTTTGCAATCCACGGAGTCCAACCATTGGTAATAAGAAACTGTACTTCTCCATTGTAGGGTCGAGCAGTCAAGAACAGTGGAACAATTATGTCAGTGAAGGAATGAAAATGGTTTCCTGCATATCCTCCAGCCGAAAAAAGGATCGCTGGAACACTATGATTTTGAGTGCATTGAGGGACATCTGAGCCACGGGTCACAAGTTTTACCGTCCATTCCCTAACCGCACCCATTGCTGTTTGATCACCTTTACGCGCATAAGGCCTAATACTCCATGAAGTATTCTCTGCTGCCAGGATATCGGTTTCGGATGAGACTATAAAAACATTGTAGGAATTTCCATCAATCCTGATGTCCCCTTTTATCTCACAGAAATCTGATCTATCCCTGATAGTGCATAGAGGCTCCATTCTGTTATTCTTTTTTACAACATCTGCATCTTCAAAAATCAATCAACATTATCAGACATAAGTCAGGGAGTTATGAACTTTCATCATGTGATGTTGACTCTTTTCACATCCACAAGGATTCTTTTTTCTTTCTTAAGTAATGATCGGTAAGTTATTTCTAAGAAATGATCTTAAGTACTCACCTGTTGCTTTCGGAAGAGAGCTGTTTGTATTGTTGGCCATGTACATAATATCCTCGCTTACAATTTCTGCGACATCAAATAACTCAGGTCAGAATACACCAACATGCTTGAATTCATCATTGCATAGCAAACGGAGCTGTCTTGACATAATTATCAATCTGTTAATTTTCTTTAAAAAACAAAATGATGAAGACTTACCTTTGATTATTTGTGAAGAGCTACTTGTATCATTGGCTTTCATATTCTGTGTAACATTTTCTGCATTAAAATCAAGATAAATTATTCTATGTTGGATGCAATATAACTTTCTTGAGATTAATTAGCTCAAGTTGAACTATAGAAATGATCCTTTACTAGTTGATTTTCCTCAAAAAAAGGGAAAAAAAAAAAGAAAAGAAAAGAAAAAGAAAAACTTACCCCTAAATACCTCATGAGAGCTGTTTATATTATTGACAATTGAAGTACTATTCGATATAATTTCTGCATCTTCAAAAATCAATTAAATGGACTTAAGTTAGACATATATACTATAAATTATTTTTTTAAAAAAAGTTATAGATACAAATACTATAAACTTTATTTGGCATTATATATATATATATATGTTTACTTAAAGGAAAATACATGCATAAATGAAATCTTTACCTCTAATTTCTGCTTTTTCATGAGAGCTGTTTGTATCATTGACAATTATTGTACTAATAATTTTTGCTGCTTCATGCGAGCTGTTGCTTGTATGATTGAGAATTAAATTATTGTTTATTGTTTCTGCATCATCAGAAATCAACATCAAATGAACATTAGCTAAATATAACAGAAATTATCAAAACAAAAAAGGTTAGATATGCTATTAATTTTATGTATCGTTTACAAGACCGAATTAAGCTAGCTAAATCCTAGCTATAGATACACTTTTGTGGATCAAAACTTACCTTCGGCTATCAGCAAAGGATTGCCTGTATCATTAAAAAGATGGAGTTTCTCATCTTCTCCCATTGATAACCTCAAATTCACTGCAAAATTAATCGAAGTTAATTATAATGCATAGCAGACTGAACAAATCTAAAACTTTCAACCAAATGTGGAGAAGTTGATACATATATAGCTAGGCACCTGTTCTAAACTTTGATAGCAGAAGTACAAGAATAATGATGGAGGACTTACAAACTGGTAGAGGGCCCAAGTAAGGCTTAAAGATGGTGAAGAAACTCAATGCAATGAACATGCAGGCAAGCAATGCCCAGTATCCCAACTTCTTCTGCTCATTCTTGCTAAAGCTTCTAGCAAGTACAGTATCATACATCATTCTGCTAACCTAAGCAAAACCCACAACTAAAACGTCATTCTTCTGTGTGTATATATATGTATATATATATATATGGCTATGAAACAAGCTTTAAAGTCTTTGTTCAAAGAAGTGCATGTTAAGCTTCTAACTAGTTGTCATGCACTCCATGTTCAAGAATGGATGTGGTGAAGCAAAATTTGAGGCCATTAAGTATGTCAACAAGAAGACGTTGAGGTTTACTATTATTATTATGATTTGAAAACTATTGCACCTCACGTATATTCTGTCAGCTCTAGAACAATTTGTCCAAACGTACGAAATTATATGGGCATTTGAAAGGGACATGTGGTTGACTGTAGTGACAAACATCTCTTTTCGTGACTATAATTGGTTAGGTAATTTTCTTGCATATTCTGAAAATTAAAAAAAAAGCCGTCCTTGGATTCCAGCTTTTGAAAGGTATAAACCAACTAACCACTCAAAATTTTCCCTTTAGTTAATTACCCTGCTTCTAACAAATTTGCCAGGGTGGTACTACGCAGCTGGCACAACATTAAGACAAATAAAAAAAAAAAACAAAAGAGAATTACGGTTTTTTTTTTCTTTTTATATGCTACAAATATTCTAGATTAAAAAATTCTATCAGGCACATAAAACAAAAAAAATATATATAATTTTTTTTATATATACATAAGAATTCAATTTGAGATCATTTGTTTAAACGATTAAAGTTTTTTTTTTTCCTCAAAGTCAATTATTGTGGGTTAAAAAAGTGAATTACTTTGATTACTATTAAAATTTAATGTAGATAATTACAGCAATCACTTCTTTTGCTTCTGAAAAATTATGATGACCTAGTGTTATGCGTTAGCCTAGCTAGTTTGCGCGCAATACCAAAGTAACTGTTCGTAAGAGATATCAACTACTATTTGTTTAATTAAATTATGAGGTGTGCTATTTAAATGATAAAGGAGAAAATGCATTCAATAAGAAATTTATATTTAATCTATCTTAAAGTAAGTTCTCTATATGATTTAGATTTGATATATCTTGAAGTAATTTTCTGTACTTATTTGACCTATATATTAGAGATTAATATAAAAACATTTATGAAGCTTCACATAACGATTTAAATTTTTAGATCAAATGATTTTTTTGATATGATATTAGAGTTTTGATAATAATAAAAAAAAATTACAAGTTTGAATATATATTTTTTAATTAAACACAAAGTAATAATAATCTGTTTATGTAAATTTCAAATCCAAAAATTTAAAACTTAAAAAAATATGTTAAAAAATAATATAAAAATATTAACGAAACATCACCTAACAGTTGATAATATCTATATGATATGGTATGTATATGAATTCATTAGCCGCATGGCTAATTTTGTATTCCAATATTCAGGGGTAAAAAAAAAGAGTTAATATTGAACAAATTATATAGCCTTAACATATATGTAATTACTCACCACCAAAAGGCCACAACCAATATTATAATTTATAATGATTGATTGAAAATAAAATAAAATTTCCAAGTAAAAGAGTTGATCAGAGTTGGAGCCGTCTGTAGTTGGACCAGGAGTAGTCTCAACATTTTTTCAAAAATTAAGAATATTCATGAAATTATTATACAGAGTGGATATCATTGGGAGTTTGAGTCAACAAAATGAAGACAATCATTTCTGTTGCAATTTATATTCCGTAGTGCATCACCAAACACATGATTATATCAAGAAATCAGGAAAAACAAAAAATTCAAACAATCTTACCAATTTAAAAAATAGGAAGGTTTATACACATAAGCACATTCTTGGACCGACAATTGAGTCGATTCAGAGCATTTGATCAATTAGTGAGGAAAGATTAAGACATCTAAATTAAAAAGACGTTTGGTAGATTAGATTAAGACATGTTACCAATCTCCATTTCCGAATTTGGTGGGATCTATGCATTATGATCATGAGGCAAGGAAGTATTATAAGATTTTTGTCTGCTTCGAGGGAATACTTATACGTGTTTGGCATAAACAATGTGTTCTTTTAGATTTTGGATTCTAATATATGTATGTATGGTTCACATATAGCTCTACATACAATTAATTAACTAAATTAGTCTTCTCCATCAAACCATGTCAATTAGATCAAATGAAAATAATTCACTATAGTCTCCCACGATAATACAACCACCCTTGGCTCTATATCACCCTAGATGTTACTCTTTCTTGCTTTCCATGCGTCGAAATGTACATGATACCTAACTATCTACATTTTAATATGTTTAAAATCTAAATTAATATATAAAATTTAAGTAGTTAAGGTATCGTATTCAACCTTCACAACTTATTGAAAAATCTATCTTTTTTTATTATTAAATAAAGTTATTATTGAAAACCTCTAATGTTTAACATTTTTTAATGTACGATCACTTTTCATTAATTTAGCATTCTTTTCGACATGATTGAGTTAATTAATTATTCAATTCAATGTTTAAATGATTGGTTTTCAAGAAGAACTTAACATAAACATATAGTAATTTTAGTAGTTGGATAAATAAAGCCCTAATCAAATTCTTATCATTAATTGTTATGACCCAAAAGGGACTATTTGCATTATTGATGATGATTACATATCATTTCTAAGCAAAGCAAACCCTTCTTCTCGGTAGCATGTAGCCAACCAGGGATCAAAGATCAAAATAAGCTAGGAAATCCGGATGATTGTGCTCTATTTTCACATAATCAATTGGAAATAATACTCCTTCTATTATATTCTCATGCTGGCAATAAATGATTATATCACAGATTCTTACATTTACTATATATATATATATATGTCTCTTTCATTAATTGTGCATATTATTATATTATATATGAGTACTGACTTCCTTCTATTATATTCTCATGCTGGCAATAAATGATTGGAAATCGGAATGAACCACCTTTGACATTGATATAACCATCCATACCTGCCCTTGCAAAGTCCAAAATTCATGCCTTGCCTCAGAAAAATGAAAAATATATGATGAGCTTCTCTTATCAACCTCTTTAGTATATGTATTTTTTATTATTTTCGTTTATCCAAAGATTTCGAACCATAGGCTACATAATATTAGCTAGTTATTTTTCAATACATAATTTATAATTAAATAACATAAAATTATTGAGACTCAAACTATTTTTTTTTAAAAAAAAACTATCAAATATCCAGCTATTAGACTGTATTTGCTTCTATAGAGCTTCTTAAATATAATATAATTATAAATTAAGAAATTAAGGTAAATAAGCAATGATCACATATAGGGATATCAATAGGCCGGATATAAAATGGATATCCGTTTTATTCGATATAATAAATATTCATTAAAAATATCTAAATTTTTAATGTGTATTGAAATAGATAAAGATAAAAAAATACATATATATTAATATAGTTTCGGGATATGGGTATTCATTTTTTATCTTATTAATACTCACTAATTTATTTATATATTTTTTTATTAACATACAGGAATCTAATTGCATAAAGTTAAAAATTAAAGATAAAAATATTTTTAAAAAAATTTAAGGACAAAAAAAAAACTTATAAATAAATGACTAAAATGAAAAAAAAAATTAAGGACCAAAAAAACTTTTATTAAAATTATAAGAACTAAAATGAATATTTTTGATAAATTAAATTTATTGGGTATTAAATTAACCAGATAAACTAATATAGATGAGATATGGACTGAGTAAAGATTTATATGATAATTTCTTAATAAATAATGGATAGAATATTTTTTTTATAGATAATATAAAAAATTAAATTAATAAGCCACGTATTGATTGCCATCCCTAATCATTCATAGGTAATCTCTAATTAAAAAAAAAAAAAAAGAAAGCTGCTTTTACATGTTGGGCTTATTATAGTCATCAGTTATGTCTTCTTCTTGCCCACATGTTGGGCTTACTATAGTCATCCGTTATGTCTTCATCTTGCCCAACGTATGTTGATTTGATTCATTAACCTGCCCAATTGGATACTTATTATAATAATACTAATGGAGACGAGGACGATGCTGATGTTTGAGAATTAATAAAGAGCGGATAAAATCTGTCCTACTTTTGAGTGCTCTTCTGCACTTTTTTAAGGCGAAGGTGGGAAAATAAAAATGTTAAAGAGGAAAACAGGAGAATTTCTTGACGGAAGCAACGGTTCTGCCAGTTGGCAATGCACGATCAGAAAGAAAGTTGCCTAGTTGCAATCATGCATATAAGTTCAATCTAGTCCTTTTTGTTCTTCCTGTTTTCCCACGTACCATGCATTCTTTCCAGATAACACAATGCTGGAAGTAGAGTTATCATGGTACCGGCATAGTCATACTTGTCTTTTTACAACTACTAATTAAGGAAAAAAAAATTGTTCTCATAGTTATGTAAAGAATAATCTCAATTAGGTCTTTAGAAATTCTATATTGAATTCTTCCCTCTAAAACTTATCACAGATTTCTAATAGAGTAAGTTGAACTTCAAAACAACATCATTTTGTTGTGTAAGAGAGTTGCTTGTTGGTGAATATGAATGGAGACTCAATTGAGAATCCCTCACCCATTAGGGCTTAATTGAGAAAAAAAAATGTTTGAGGACTTGAATTTTGGTGCATAGTTTGGACTGATTCGAGGTTTGCTCATTTTGAAAGAAATTATATGTTTGGATGGCACCTTTTACATTTTAGATACAGACCTCCAATCTTAATGATTGGTTTAATTCATTAACCAGTCAGGAATATTATTATTATTATTATTATTATTATTTTCTTTTGTTAACAATCACTGTCGATCTTAAGAATTCCATGTGCCAGGGAAAATTGTTGATGAAGTAACCAAACTGACAAAGAAATATGGCTATGTTTTCGACTTGAACTCTACCAAATTTTGTGAAGTTAACTTGAATTAGTTTTTGACTTTTTGAGCCTACAAATTAATCCCTTTACTTAACACTTCGGAGTTATAAGTCATGGAGTTGTTAACATTTAACAAAAGGTTCAACTTAAAATTTCTTGTTCTCCATAGCTTAATTGGATAGGAGGATTGTGGTAGTTACCAATAGGCTTGTAATTACCAAAAGGCTCTTGTTCTCCGTAGATTTTATTACTCTCATTATTTAAAGTTTACTTCTTCGATTTATCATTTCTTATTGAAATTTTTCATATATATATATATATATATGTTAACAATTATAATTTATTTTTCTTTATGAATTTTGAAATAAAATTTTAGAATATGATTATTCTCTTTAAAAAATATATTAATATAATTTGTATGATGAATTCTTATAATTTTTAAATAAAAGTAGTATAATTATGTGTGTATTTAAAAGTCTAAAAGCGTATGTTAGATCATTTTTCTTTTAGAAAATAGTAAATGTTAGAAAAATCAATTAAAAATATAATTTATTTTTTTATTTGTTTCTTTTTTATATAATCAAAATTGATTTTGTAGTAGTTTTTATTTCAATCGACTAACTTCAATTTTATTTGTTATGTTCCTTACAATTTAAGTGTCTTTTTTTTAATATTTTTTATTTTATACGACACATTTTGAACCTATCAAGTATAGTCATGATATATAAAAAAATTAAAATAATTAGTTTTATTAAAAATTAATTGTGCATCTACACACATAATATTAACCATTTGCTATTATTATTTTTCTAATATTATAAAATTAATTTCTTTTAAATAAAATAATTAAAATAATGTTTTAAAAAAATCATCTAAGGATTCAAATATAAGTTTTTATACCGATATTATTGATAATTTGGTAAATAAAAATATATTAATCAAATATATCTACTTTCAAAAAATAATATTCTCATTAACATTCAATAAGAATGAAAAATATTTTTTTCATTTGTTAATTTTTATTTAAATTTTTATATTAATTAAATTTTCTATTTTTATACCATGGGGAAGATGGATACGTGAGTGAACAGTAGTTAGGGCAACTATTTGGGAAATTTGAGATTTTATATTCTGACATTTTATGTAGCTTGTGACATGTCTTGTTAAAAAATTAAAAGAAAACTAGTTAGATATCCGCACTACATCTGCAGTCGGACAATCATTATATACACATGATTAACGATTCGAATGGTGTGATGCAAGTAGATATTTTGTTTCGAAGATTAATGTAAGTAGAATCTATATATTGAGTAAATTTATTTGATTTCTATATATTTATTAACAAAATAATTTATAATATTAGTATAAAAATTTGTACTCGAATAAATAAGAGATTCTTTCAAAACATTAATTAAATTATTTTATTTATAAATACAAATTTTAGAACATGAAAAAATTAAATAACAAATAATTAGTGTTATGTGTGCAAATATAATTAATTTATAATAAAACTATATATATACAAACCAAATAAAACCTATGAATTTTTTAACTAATTATTAATTTAAAAAAACTAAGCCAAATTATTTTTAACTGATTATTATTTTTTAAAAAATTAATTCAAATTATCTAAAATATACTTTTATCTCTTTCTCTCTCTCGCCCCCCCCCCCCCCAAAAAAATTAGAATTTATATATGACAAAACTATATATATATATATATATATATAGTACTTAGCAGATTCAAAATATATAAAATAAATAAAAAATATAAAAAACCTACTTAAATCGTATGAAATATATCGAAGTGAATAGATTTAAATAAAAACTACTATAAATTTGGTTTTGATAAATTTTAGTTATATATAAATAAAACCAAATAAAACCTATGAATTTTTTTAACTAATTATGAATTTCAAAAAAAAAATATCAAATTATTTCTTTAACCGATTATTTTTATTTTAAATTAAGTTAAATTATCTAAAACACACTTTTAGCTCTCCATCTCTCATCATAATTTATATATGCAACTACGCTATTCTCATTTAAAAATCATAAAAATAATCAATTGTATAAAATATAATAATATATTTAAAAAATAAAAAAAATTATGGTCTAAAATTTTATTTCAAAAGCCATATATATAAAAATAAAATTTATTAACAAATAGAATTATATAAAATTAAAAAATTAACTCGATGATAATTTTACTAAGAAACAAACAATTGAAAAAATAAATTTTAAATAATAAAAATAATATAATCAGATATATATGTTCAAACTAAAATCTAAAAAAAAAAATCATATATAGTCTATTATCGTTAAATTGTACGTAAAACTAAAAAAAAACATTTATCTTTATATTTTCATACCTAATTTCATGATAAAAAATATATAAATAAATTATTTATATAGAAGGGGAACAACTACCATCATCAATCCTTTCTTTTTTCAATTGGCAGCAACTTAGCTCTTAAAAAAAAAAAAAAAAGAAAAAGACAAAAAAAAGCCAGCCAAAAAAAAAAAAAAAATTAAAGTAATGCTACCGTAATCAATCCTTGCCAACAGCAGGGAAAAAAAAAAAAAACCCAACCTACAGAGAAGAAAAAATGATATCAAAATTAATTTACAGTAAAAATTGTAGGAAAATAATGAGTAATGAGGCAAGGAAGGTTTTGTATCCTGATAGAAATGTGTTCACTGATGCAGCAGTTCTAAGGCTTTTACCAAAGTGGGTCTGAACCTATCCACATCTAGCGTTACATTTTGTTTGTGCAAGTATATTGAAGTAAATGCCAACCAACCCTGTTTCGCAATCACAGAGGGATCCCTCAAAACTACATGGCCGGCTGGGTATTGCTGTGTCAAAGTGCTCTCTTCTACCCCAATTTTGTAGTCCAAGTACCTTATGTTCATGTCCTTTGCAGGGTCTTCAAAGCAGACTCTTGACGACCATCCTGCCCCAAATGGAACTACTTGAATCAAGATTGCATTTTCAGGAAGGAAAACAATGTTGGTTAGGCCAGCACCATGAACTCCCATCACTACATCACAGGAGTTGATAATTTTTGCAAATCCTGGTACATCTGGGCCAGGTTCTGCGACAACTACTTGGTAGCTCAAGCTTTCTGCTAGTTTAGCAATTTCGCCGACATTTGTGAAAGCTCTTGATCTCTTTCTTGAAATGATTAGAAGCCGAGGTTTTCTCTTATTACCATCCCTGATTTGGGCTGCTGTTGTGGTATTTAAGGAATAGGAACGACTTAAAAACTGCCTAAAGTTCTTCATGGAATATGGAGAGGTGGAAGGATCGATATTGAGCTCCTTTTTGGTTCGACCTTTAAGGCCAATCGTTAGGCTTTTGAAGCAATGGATATTATGTCTGTCATCAATGTCTATGGGCTCATATTTAGACAGTGCCCCCAATAATGTTTTGAACCTTGCAACCCACCAAGATTTATTGTTGGTAATGAGAAATTGAGTTTCTCCATTAAAGGGTCGAGCAGTTGCGTATAGTGGAACAATTATATCAGTGAAGGCGTGGAAATAGTTTCCTGAAAACCCTCCAACAGAGAAAAGGATTGCAGGAACACTGTGATTACGAGTGCAATGAGCGATATCTGGGTGATCAGGTACAAGTTTTACTGACCATTTCCTAGCAAAATCCTTTATCCCTACTAATTCTTTTCGCGCATAAGGCCTGATACTCCATGAGGTGTTTTCTGCTGCCAAGATATCTGTTTCAGATGAGACAATGAAAGCAGTGGAGGAGTTTCCGTCAATCCTGATGTCCCCTTTTATCTCACAGAACTCTGATCTTCCCTTGATATTGCACAGCAGCTCCATTTTTTCGTTCTTCGTCACGACATCTGCGTCCAGGAAAACGGACAAGAGCCAAGTCAGGGACTGATGACCTGTTATCAAGTCAAAGGCTAATGTTAATTCTGCTGAGATGCAACTCACCAGTGGCTAATTGCTGAGAGCTGCTCGTAGCATTGACCATCAGGGGACCCTGTACTTTAATTTCTGCATCTTCAACACCAAATTATAACTTACTTTCTTCAATTCAAAACAGTGATCTAGTTTGAGTTGATCTAGACTTACCATTAACTGACCTAGCTGAACCGCTTGCATTACTGATGGCTAATGTATTGTTTGTAATAATTTCTGCATCTTCAAAATGAAAAGAGAATAGACTTAATTAAATTAGATAAAATCACTTTATTTGGCATGATACCCAACCACTGATTCCATCGGTGCGTAGACACATTTTTGTGGAAGCATTCATAATCAAAACTTACCTCTGGCCATGTGCAGAGTACTTGTTTCATTTACACCAAATACTTCTTGCTCACCCCGCTTTGATAACCTCAAATTCACTGGAAACTCAATGGAAGTTAGAAAAAAATATCATAAGAATTTTAAACCTTCATATAAATGTGCTCATAGCGAAACAACTTCGATGTCCGAATAAATCGATAAATAGGAACCTTCTCAACATTGATAGCTGAAGTGCAAGAAAAAATGGAGGACTTACAAAGTGGAAGAGGACCCAAAGAAGGGTTACAGACAGTGAAAAAGCTCAATGCAACGAGGAAGCAAGCAGCCAACGCCCCATACCCCAACTTCTTTTGGTCATGCTTGCTAAAGCTTCTGGCAAGTAAAGTATCATATATCATGCTCACTAGTACTGTAAGCAAACCCTATAACTACGACTTCTACAGCTAAAACACCTTTTTGTATATATATGACTATGCTGGATCTTTGTTCGAAGAGAAGAAGAGCTGTGCAAATAATCTGTATTAGGCCTAGTTCTGAAGCAGCTTAAGTTCATGAAATAATGGATTGTTATGATTAAATAAATAAAAGCTGTGGCAACATCAGCACACTGTGGACGGTGAGGTTCATAATTTCTTAAATAAAATTCTAGGAAGGTTGTGGGTGACTGTAGTAACAAAACACCTCTTTTCATTATTATATTTCATATTTAATTGATTAACTAGTTTTTCTTGCACATCATTCTGAAAATATTAAATTGCTGATTACAGCTTAGCTTTGAATCTTCAGTTAATTAGTCTGCCAAGTTAACTTTGCTTGCTGTGTTGGTACTACAATCTTGCACAACATTAACAAATAGTATAAAGGTCAATTACATCCGATTATTTTTATTTATTTATTTATTTATACCTTCTGTCTTAAAACATCATGATTTCCTCCTATCAAAATTAACTATAATTATCCTGGCCCTTTTTTTTTTTTTTATCGCTGAAATTATATGGTTCTAGTACATGGACCAATTGACTAATCGCATTGATATTGCTAAATTAGGATTGATATTGAACTAATTACGCCAATATTAATAAAGCCACCAGACCTTTTTGGGGTAGGGATATTTCGAGGAGAGATCACAACTCATGAGTTTAAACTTTAAACTGACAGAAAGGGAAGAGTTTTTGAACTGAATGAGTTGGAGATTTTATTTCCTGGAACCGGCCTACTCCTATAGCAAGGCCAATAAGCCACAATAAGCTGAGAGTTGGGTATTGTAGTCAGACAAAGAGCTAGTCTCCTTTCTAAAAGAAACAAAAAGGGAAACTATCGTCATTAAATAAATCGAAAACAGATTGAACAAGTCAATAAGCAACCCATAAAATAACAAGATTAATTTGGACACATAAACACATTCTTTGGCCGACAGCAGCAAGAAGTAGAAAACATAAACACATTCTCATAAACAATGCATTCTTTTAGATTTTTTTTCCCTTTTTTGACATTTTAATTTGGTTTTCAATAATAATAATAATAATAACTCTATAAAAAATATAGATGTTTAACTACTCACCCATGACATATATACACACACACACACGACAACTAACTAAAATACTATATTCTAAGACGTGCAAAATATTGATAAAACCCTAAGTAGTTACCATATCATATTCAATGATGATGCATAAATACTATATTATTCCTAATCTAATTAAATGTGTCATTAGGGCAAAAGACAAACACCATACACGTGTATTACCTACATTCCTCGTTTAATTAAAATTTGAGGTTTTGATATCATTCATTAAGATGTTTGGGGGCTTGCCCTATGATTTTTAATTTAGGATATTGCTATTTTTTATTGTTTATTGATGATTTTACATGGTTTACTTGGGTTTATTTTCTTAAAAACAAAAGTGATGTTCACTTTATTTTTCTTCAATTTCAATCTTATGTCAATCGCCGATTTAATGGAACGATTTAATGGAACAATTAAATCGTTTCATTCAAGCTAGGAAGGAGAGTATCAAAAATTGAATTCTTATTTTAAACAATTTGGCATTATTCATCATATTGCATGTCTTTACACTCATGAACAAAATGACATCTCCGAACATAAAATCAAGCATCTTGTTGACACCGGCTTAACCATTTTGGCACATGCTGCTATCCCTTTCAAAATTTGACCTTATGTTTTTCAAACAAGTGTTCATTTAATCAACTTATTACCTACTCCACTTGTTCATAATAAAACACCATTAGACTTACTACATGGTAGGAAACCTATGTAGAACTAAAAATCTTTGGTTGTACTATCTATCCCATTCTATGCCCATATAATCAACATAAATTTTCATTTTGCGCTAAGGTTTGTGTTTATCTAGGTCGGTCTCCTCGTTATCATGATCACTTATGTCTTGATCCTAAAATCAATAGAGTTTATGTAGCTAGACATGTTAAATTTGACGATGAAACTACTTTCCCTTACGTAAACAAAGTTGATCATAATGGGAGTTCCAATTTGCCAAAGCCGTCACCAACTCTGTGGATGACAATTTTAGTTCCATCTCCTCTCACCATGCAACAAGGTATGTTTGTCTATACTCATTTAACTTTATCTCGCATCTATTTCTGTTTCCTCCCTTCCAATGACTTCTACTTCATCCAAGATATCTTCCGTTTCCTTTTCTTCTTCACCTACAACAATAACTAAGACAATATATCTTACATCCCATCCCTTTGCTCCTTCCCATGTTATCCATCGTATTATGCAACCTCTTCCTCTATTTGTCAATTCCTCTTCGTGTCTGAATCTTGTTGTTGATCTTTCTTCCTCTCCCACTATCCAATCTACTAGATCTAATTCCCTTCTCACTTGAACTCACTCTATGGGCCTTCGTCCCGCTACCATTCATAAATACTAAGCCCATGTTATGCTGAAAGAAAAACCCTACCTTGACCATAAACCATGAACCTACATCTAAGCTAAATCATTTCGTGAATGACAACAAGCAATGGCGAGTTGAAATAGATGCACTATTAGCCAATACCACTTGGACTCTTATCCCACATTCTTTAAATGTTAACATTGTAGGGAACAAGTGGGTCTACAAGATTAAACGAACTTAGGATGGCAAGGTTGATCGCTGCAAAGCAATGCTAGTGGCAAAAGGATACATCCAAAAATCATGTTTGACTAGAAAGATACTTTCATTCCCGTGGTTAAATCTACCACAATTCGGGTTTTGTTGGCTTTATCTTCCATGTTTCGTTGGTCCATGAGGCAATTGGATGTTTCTAATGTCTTTTTGCATGGACATCTTGCTAAACGAGATATTTATGGAACAACCATAGGGCTTCATTGATCCGTCATGTCCAGATTTTATGTGCGAGCTGAATCATTCTCTCTATGGCTCAAAACGGACTCCTAGAGCTTGGTTTACACAACTAAGCTAGTTCTTTATTTCTTTGAAGTTCATACCATCAAAGGTTAATTCATCCTTATTCATGTTTTGCTCTACTATTGTTGGTTTATGTGGATGACTTAATCATAATAGGTTCCTCTCCTACACCGATATTGGCTATTGTCACTTAGTTTAAAGGAGAATTTTTTATTTGCAACCTAGGAACTCTTCATTACTTTTTTGGTATAAAGGTATCTTCCAATCCTACTAGCATTATTCTATCTCAATAAAACTATATTGGTGATCTTCTTATTTGCAATGCTACGGAGGATTGCAATCAATGTTCCACTCCAATAGCAACTTCTCCTACTTTGTCCAAAACCAATAGCAGTCCATTTGAACATGGTGATCACTATCGCTAATTGGTTGGAGCTCTTCGATATGTTATCATCACCCATTCAAATAGTGCATATACGGTTAATAAACTCTATCAATTCATGCATCATCCAACCGATGACCATTGGAAGGCTTTAAAGAGATTACTATGTTACTTGAAAGGTGCTCGATCAAAAGGTTTATTTTTTCTTATACCTTACGTCCGGAATTACAATGTTTTACCGACGGTGATCGGGAAGGTGACTTAGATGATCGACAATGAACGAGTGGTTATGGAATTTTCTTAGGCTCATCTTTGGTATCCTGGATGGCCAAGAAATAGCCTACCATTGCTCATTCGTCTACAAATGGTGACTACAAGGCCATTGCTAATGCCACGACAAAGGTCATCTAGACTCTCTCTTTTTGCTAAAATTGGCTTTGCTATTTCTCATTCGGATGTTTGATGTGACAACATTGGTGCCATACATCTTACCTCCAAACCAAGTGGTTCAAGTTAAGATAAAGCACACTCGAATTAGACTATCATTTTGTCCGAAAACAAGTTGCTAATGGTGCTTTAACAATTCACTTTCTTCCCACAACATACCAAGTTGTTGATATTTTTACCAAGCCCTCGTCCATCTCTCGTTTTCAGCTTTTCGGAGACAAGCTACACCTAAAAGATACCTAAGGGCTTGCAGGGGGATGTTAGAATTGTTAGCATTACGAGTAAAGTTAGAACTGTTAGCATTGCGGGACGATCGAGTATAAATGGAACATTAGTATCGGTAGGATTGTTAGCTACTTAATCTCCTTTTGATATCAAACACCTTATAGCTTATCTTGTACAACTATAAGCTCTTCTCACATTGTGTTTACGTATATAAATATTTTAGATTAAGAATAATATACAAGAGTTTTCAATTCTCTACATTTAGCACTAAAATCAAGTCAAAGATCCTAGTTGGATCCTATGTTGTTTGCTCTAAACCATCCATTTTCATATATATTCTCCTTAATTAGTGTTAAAAATGCATGAATGGAATGTCTAGTTGTTCGAAACACACTTGAGTATATAAGAATGTGCCGGTAAGCACAATATTAATTATTTTTTATTATAATAAAAATTTTTAATGTAAAAAATTATATTATATATAAAAAACATCAAAATATTTGAACATTTTGCGGTACCACTTGTTCACATACATTCTCATGTTCACTATACGAGTGGTGTCTTTGTAATTTTTAAACGAGTCTCCAAGCATTTATATAGGAATTTTATCAAATGTTGTACTTTGATCTCTAATGTTTTAATAGGTTTTTTTTTTTTTTTAATTTTATTTATATAGTCTGTTTTGTCCCTATATATAGAGATGAGAGATAAATGAAAAGCGAGAAAAGAGGAGAAAAAAGTCACAACCAAGTCCGATATTGACTACTTTGATCGTAAATCTTACATTTAAATTTTTTGGATTTGATTTGCTTTTTGTTTTCTTTTTATACTTTTATGTGGATTAAAATAAGTTTTAAAACTTGAAATGAGTTTCTTGAACTTATTTTAGTGATTTTAAGGTGTTTTAAAGTAAAAATGATGTTAGATTCATGTTCTAGTGGCTTGAAATTGAAATGTCAATCTTTCAATGAAGATTCCTATAATTTTTCAAGCGAACTCGGGTTTTTCAAAAGTTGTAGGAAGAGAATGTTTTGCTCGCACTACACAATTTGAACAATGCATCATCTATTTGTTTTTTTTTTTTTTAAAAAAAAAGGCGAGATGCGCCTGACCTAACTTGGTGTTTTTTTTTCCTTTTTTTTCCCAAAAAATTATTATTATTATTGTTAGTATCATTGTGGTTATTGAATTTGATGTAAAAATTACAAAAAAGCCAATAATTATTATTTTTAAAACTTTTTTTTCAAATAGTCTAATGATTATGAAATATATATGGCATATTTTTGGATTTTAGAATGAACAAACACACACACACACACACAAACACATCATGTGTGTGTGTGTGTATATATCAGATTATATTATTTTTATTATTTAAAGTTTATTTCTTCGATTTGTCATTTCTTATTGAAATTTTCATCCAATTATTTTTTTCTTTTTATTTGTTAACAAATATAATTTATTTTTCTTTATGAATTTTGGAATAAAATTTTAGAACATGATTATTCTCTTTAAAAAAATATATTAATATAATTTGTATGATGAATTATTATAATTTTAAAATAAAAGTAGTATAATTGTGTGTGTGTGTGTGTATTTAAAAGTCTAAAAGCGTATGTTAGATCATTTTTCTTATTTTTTTTAGAAAATAGTAAACTGTAGAATAATCAATAATTTTGTTTATTTGTTTCCTCTTTATATAATCAAAATTTATTTTGTTATATTTTTTATTTCAGTATACTAACTTCAATTTTATTTGGTATGTTCTTTAAAATTTAATTGTCTTTTTTTTTTTTTTAAAAAATTTATACTACTTATTTGAACTCACTAAATATAGTCATGATGTATATAAAAAAATTAGAATAATTAATTTTATTAAAAATTAACTATGCATATGCACACATAACACCAACAATTTGCTATTATTATTTTTTTAATATTATAAAATTAATTTTTTAAAATAAAAAATTGAAATAATATTTTAGAAAAATCATCTAAAGATTCAAATGCAAGTTTTTATGCTGATATCGTTGATTGTTTTGTAAGTGTGTGTATATATATATATATTAATCAAATGTATCTAATTTTAAAAAATAATCTTCTCATTAACATTAAATAAGAATAATTTTTTTTTATTTGTTAATTTTTATTCAAGTTTTTATATTAATTAAATTTTCTATTTTTATACCGTGGGAAGAAGGATACGTCAGTGAACAGTAATTGGGGCAACTATTTGGGAAATTTGAGATTTTATATTTTGACATTTTGTGGAGCCCGTGGCCTGTCTTGTTAAAGGGAAATTTTCTTTCGATTTCCTCCTCTAGCAGGGATCACACGAGCAGAACGTGGATATTCAACTTTTCCATTAACTCTATTTAGCTATTCCATAAATGGAAATGCAGAGGTAAAACAGATCAGCTAAAAGATTTTGTTTACTTGTAATAAAAATGAAAATTGTGCTTTTAAGAGGTCAACATGGATTCTTTATCTGTGGATGAGTACTGAGTAGTGCCTTGGCTCTCTAACATCATGTAATAACTGGATTAGGTTAGGTAAATGTAAAATCATTCTCTTCTGACTATTCTCGATGAGAGCAGGCAGGCAGAGTACACAAATGAAGATTTTGCATCACCAAGAAAACCTACATGAATGTACATACAGAAGAAGAAAAACTGATATTAAAATTAATTTACTGTAAAAATTGTTGGAAAATAACGAGTAATGAGGCAAGGAAGGCTTTGTATCCTGACAGAAATGCGTTCACTGATGCAGCAGTTCTAATGCTTTTACCAAAGTGGGTCTGAACCTATCCACATCTAGCGTTACATTTTGTTTCTGCAAGTATATTGAACTAAATGCTAACCAACCCTGTTTCCCAATCACAGAGGGATCCCTCAGAACTACATGGCCGGCTGGGTATTGCTGTATCAAAGTGCTCTCTTCTACCCCAATTTTGTAGTCCAAGTACCTTATGTTCATGTCCTTTGCAGGGTCTTCAAAGGAGGCTCTTGACGCCCATCCGGCTCCAAATGGAACTACTTGAATCAAGATTGCATTTTCAGGAAGGAAAACCATGTTGGTCAGGCCAGCACCATGAACTCCCATCACTACATCACAGGAGTTAATAATTTTTGCAAATCCTGGTACATCTGGGCCAGGTTCTGCGACAACTACTTGGTAGCTCAAGCTTTCTGCTAGTTTAGCAATTTCACCGACATTTGTGAAAGCTCTTGATCTCTTTCTTGAAATGATTAGAAGCCGAGGTTTTCTCTTATCACCATCCCTGATTTTGGCTGCTGTTGTGGTATTTAAGGAATAGCAACGACTTAAAAACTGCCTGAAGTTTTTCATGGAATATGGAGAGGTGGAAGGATCGATATTGAGCTCTGTCTTGGTTCGACCTTTAAGGCCAATCGTTAGGCTTTTGAAGCAATGGATATTATGTCTGTCATCAATGTCTATGAGCTCATATTTAGACAGTGCCTCCAATAATGTTTTGAACTTTGCAAGCCACCAAGATTTATTGTTGGTAATGAGAAATTGAGTTTCTCCATTAAAGGGTCGAGCAGTTGCATATAGTGGAACAATTATATCAGTGAAGGCGTGGAAATAGTTTCCTGAAAACCCTCCAACAGAAAAAAGGATTGCAGGAACACTGTGATTACGAGTGCAATGAGCGATATCTGGACGATCAGGTACAAGTTTTACTGACCATGTCCTAGCAAAATCCTTTATCCCTAGTGCTTCTTTTCGCGCATAAGGCCTGATACTCCATGAGGTGTTTTCCGCTGCCAAGATATCTGTTTCAGATGAGACAATGAAAGCAGTGGAGGAGTTTCCGTCAATCCTGATGTCCCCTTTTATCTCACAGAACTCTGATCGTCCCTTGATATTGCACAGCAGCTCGATTTTTTGGTTCTTCGTCACAACATCTGCATCTAGGAAAATGGACGAGAGCCAAGTCAGGGATTTATCAAGTCAAAGGCTAACGTTAATTCTGCTGAGGTGCAACTCACCAGTGGCTAATTGCTGAGAGCTGCTTGTAGCATTGAACATCAGGGGACCGTTTATTTTAATTTCTGCATCTTCACAAACCAACACCAAATTATAACTGAAGTTCAAAAGTACTTACTTTCTTCCATTCAACAGAGTGATAACTGACCTAGTTTGAGTTGATCTAGACTTACCATTAACTGACCTAGCTGAGCTGCTTGCATCATTGAGGGCTAATGTATTGTTTGTGATAACTTCTGCATCTTCAAAATGAAAATTGAATAGACTTAATTAAATTAAAAGTAATCACTTTATTTGGCATGACACCCAACCACTGATTCCCTGGGTGCCTAGACACATTTTTGTGTAAGCATTCATAATCAAAACTTACCTTCGGCCATTTCCAAAGAGCTTGTTTCATTTACAAAAAATGTTTCTTGCTCACCCCGCTTTGATAACCTCAAATTCACTGGAAACTCAATGGAAGTTAGAAAAAAATATCATCAGAATTTTAAACCTTCATATAAATGTGCTCATAACGAAACAACTTCGATGTCCGAATAAATCGATACATAGGAACCTTCTCAACATTGATAGCTGAAGTGCAAGAAAAATGGAGGACTTACAAAGTGGAAGAGGACCCAAAGAATGGTTAAAGAGAGCGAAAAAGCTCAATGCAATGAGTACGCAAGCAGCCAACGCCCCATACCCCAACTTCTTTCGGTCATGCTTGCTAAAGCTTCTGGCAAGTAAAGTATCATATATCATTCTCACTAATGTAAACAAACCCTGTAACTACGACTTCTACAGCTAAAACAGCTTTTTTGCATATATATGACTATGCTGGATCTTTGTTCAAAGAGAAGAAGAGCTGTGCAAATAATCTGTATTAGACCCAGTTCTGAAGCAGCTTAAGTTCATGAAATAATGGAATGTTATAAATAAATAAATAAAAGCTGTGGCAACTTCTACAACACTATGGACGTTGAGGTTCATAATTTCTTAAATAAAATTCTAGGAAGATTGTTCGAGTGTATGAAATTAGATATGAGCGCTAGAAAGGGACATTTGTGGGTGACTGTAGTGAGAAAACACCTCTTTTTATTATTATATTTCATATTTAATTGATTAAGTAATTTTTCTTGCACATTCAGAAAATATTAAATTGATAGATTACAGCCTAGCTTCGAATTGTATATTTAATATGTGAACCAACTGATCTCTCAGAATCTTCAGTTAATTAGTCTGCCAGTTTAACTTTGCTTGCTGTGTCGGTACTACAATCTTGCACAACATTAACAAATAGTATAGACCCCTTTTTTGTCTTTTTTTTTTTTTTTGATCGCTGAAATTATATGGTTCTAATACATGGACCAATTGACTAATCGCCTTGATATTGCTAAATTAGGATCGATATTGAACTAATTACGCCAATATTAATAAAACCACCAGACCTTTTGGGGTAGGGATATTTCGAGGAGAGATCACAACTCATGAGTTTAAACTTTAAAGTGACAGAAAGGAAAGAGTTTTTGAACTGAATGAGTTGGAGATTTTATTTCCTGGAACCGGCCTACTCCTATAGCAAGGCCAATAAGCCACAATAAGCTGAGAGTTGGGTATTGTAGTCAGACAAAGAGCTAGTCTCCTTGCTAAAAGAAACAAGAAAGGGAAACTATCGTCATTAAATAAATCGAAAACAGGTTGAACAAGTCAATAAGCAACCCATAAAATAACAAGATTAATTTGGACACATAAACACATTCTTTGGCCTGCAGCAGCAAGGAGTAGGACTTGAAGTCTGTTTCGACAGAATACGTGTCTCATAAATAATGTATTCTTTTAGAGTTTTCTTTTTCCTTTTTATGACATTTTAATTCGGTTTTCAATAATAATAATAATAATAATAACTCTATAAAAAATATGTATGTTTAACTACTCACCCATGACATATATATATATCTATATACGACACCTAACTATAATACTATATTCTAAGACGTGCAAAATTTTATTGACAAAATCCTAAGTAGTTACCATATCATATTCAATGATGATACATAAATACTAAATTATTCCTAATCTAATTAAATGTGTCATTGGGGCAAAAGACAAACACCAAACAGTGTACTACCTACATTCCCCGTTTAGTTAAAATTTGAGGTTTTGAGATCTGAAAAGAAAAAAGTTAGAGAAATAAATAAAAAAGAGTACCGGCGAATGGTTGGTAGGAACAGAGTTTGGCTAAATAAATATTATTGACACAGATTTAATAATATACTGAATTTGGCTAAATAATTAATGATAGTTATCTATAATAATTCAAAAGAGCAAAATTAAAATTGGTCCTACTTATGAGTGTGATTGAATCGCATGCACTTTCTTGTGTGGGGTGATAAAAGAAAATTCATAAGGAAATATTAGGAGCATTTCATGAAGCAAGCAATAAGAATTTTGCCAATCCGCAAAACGCAATGAAGGAGTGAAAAATTGGCTGACTAGAAACTCCCCACTTAACATTCAAAAGGCAAAATTTAAGTTAAATATTTGAACTATGTCGTCAGAGACACGGAATATGTGTTTCTTCATTTACGTTCAAGAACCAAATCTGATTATAAACTGCAAAGTATAACATGCATAAAAGACAAGACTGAGTAAAAGATTGATCACAAGCAGCGCGAAACAATGGGGAATGACGTAACGGAAACTTGCCGGAAGGAGATAAACACCATTGATTTGAAAACTCACATACGAAATTCAGATGTCGATCTAATACAATATGTTGAATTGCACAAAAATACTAAGAAATAGGCTTCAAATTTTATTGATTCAAAGAAAGTCGAAAATTGGGATAAAATTGAAATATTCTCTCATAAAATTTTATTAACCAAAGAAGCTTATGTTTTTTTTTGTCTCAAAGTCATACACAAATAGGAAATGTAGCCAAAACCCTAAACCAAATCAAAAGGAAAACAAATACAAAAAAATAAGAAAAATCTCGAAAAACAATAAAAGTCAATTTTGAGGGTCTAAATATCTTTTTTTTTTTTTTTTTGCTAAAATCACGCCTACATCATGACAAACCCATAAGTTTGACTCATTGGATCGTTTGACAATAAACTAGACCTATGAAGCCTCAAAATCGGATTGATAGTTTTTTTTTTAGCTTTTTTCCTACTCATATCGCTCCATGAATTCTAGGACTCGTTGGTCCGCATCATTCCTCTTAAGAAAAAGAAAATTTGCCCTCGAATTATTTGCATCATCATCGTTAGAAGAATCATTGCAAAAATGACTAGGCGAACTTGAGTCTCCACTATCTCCATAAGGCCAATCTTCTTTATTGCCAATTTGTTGTACTTTCCTACAAACAAATGATTCTTGGCTAGGACAACCCACACAAAGTCGCCTTCTTCATTCTCGATAAGGCAATGTTTTTTGTTAGCAGTTACCTTGTACTTTGAATAAGACCGAGTCGATTATCATGCACGAGTCTTGTGAATTTCCAAATGAATAAGTTGATCCAAGCAAACCAAGCAAGTCATTTCATCTTTTTTGTCACAAAATTAGCTATTTTTCCATGAATCTTGGCCTTGTTTGATAGAGGTATCGATTTAAAGGTCGTCGAGAAGCAACAAAACACACCACCTAGAATAGACTAAATCTAATACTCCTGTTCACAACATGATTATGAGCAAACTTAGTTTGACATAACTTCTAATCCTAACTCTTGACATGATCACCAACCAAATATTGTAGCAAATTTCTCAAAGATCGATTAATAACTTCAATTTGTTCGTCCGTCCGTGAGTGATAGGCACTACTCGAAATTTCATTATGTGTTCACCATCTTCCATAAATTGCATCAAAAGTGACTAAGGAACCTTGTATCTCTATCAAAAATAATAGATGTTGACATACCATACGGACAATATGCATCTTGGAAATAAAGGCAAGCCACATTAACGATGTATCGTTATCTTTTTACAAGGAATAAAACGAACTATCTTAGCTAAACTATCAATAACCACATAGATGGAATCTTTAACTCATTGTTTTCGTGGTAATCTATGTTGACATCCACCCGAGGTCGAGAAGGCACGGACAATATAAGAATAGTCTTGTATTAATAGCGACACCTTTAGATACTTGGCAAATTCGACGAGTCTACACAAACTTCTCCACTTTTTTGTGAATGGTAGGCCAAAAAATGAAGCTTGCACTAGCCGTAAGGTTCTATCTCGCCCTACATGACCCTTTTTGTGCAATTCCTTAATGATTTGTAATAAAAAAACCCAAAGCTAATTGCCCTTGAACAAGAACTTGTCATGTAGTAAAAACATTTTCTTCTCTCCTACACAAACTTTACCATAATAGTAGAAAATAGGGATTAGTATAAACTAAATCACAAAAAGACTCTAAACCATGTACCTTAACTCGCATCCGTGTCAACAAATAGCTCCTCCTCGCTCGAGTGCATTGGCAACGTGGTTAGTGACTATAGTTTTGTATTTTACAACAAAAGTAAACTACCGCAAATAAGCAATCCAACGTTTATGCCTCGTTGACACCTTATCTTGTTTGTGTAGGTATTTCAATGCCTCATGGTTAGTATACAACACTAATTTTCAATGAAATAAGTATTGTCTTTAGTGTTTTACATCCCGAACCACTACATAAAAATCTATGTTATAGGTGTTGTAATTAAGCTTTGCCCTCGAAAAACTTCTCGCTAAAGTAGGCCACTAGTATGTTGTTTTGACTCAACACCGCTTTAATGCCCAATTTAGATGCATCACTATGTAGCTCGAAGGCTCGCATAAAGCCTAACAAACACCAAAACTAAGGCAATTATCAAGCATGCTTTGATATTTCGAGATGCCTCTTCTACCTCTTCGATCTTAGTAAACTTTGCACCCTTCATGCAGTAGGTAATTGGGGTTATAATATTACTCGAAGTGAGGAATAAAATACCTATAAAAAGAAGCAAGCTCATAGAAGCTTTGAAATTCGGTAATGGTGCTTGTTCGAGGCCATTGCCTCACCATCTTAATCTTAGACTCATCCACCTACAATCTATCTCCGAAACTACAAAACCAAAGAACAACACCTTAGGCACCATAAAGATAGATTTCTTCACTGCTGTATAAAACTTATCTCTGTGAAGCACGGTTAGAACCTCCCTCGAGTGTTGAATGTGAACTTCAAGATTAACACTATATATTAGGATATCATCAAAGTAAACAATAACATATTTATCGATAAATGGGTTGAAGGCCCGATTCATGAAATGCATAAGGTTGCTTGGCATGTTTGATAACCCAAACGAAATTACTAACCACTCGTAGAGCCCTTCATGTGTCTTAAAGCTTTTCTTTCACTCATCTTCAAGCTTGATACGTATTTAATAATATCCACTCTTTAAATCTAGCTTTATAAATACGGTTATGCCACTAATCCGGTCAAGTAAGTCATAAAGTCATGGAATAAGAAACCGAGTATTGGATCGTGATCTTCTTAATGGCTTGGATGTCTACACACATTTGCTAAGAACCATATTTCATAAACGTCAATAAAATAGGTACTGTATAAGACTCAAACTCTCTCCCACATGTCCATTGGCAAATAGCTCCTAAACTTGTCTCCTCAAATCTTTGTGCTCGTTGGGACTCATTCTATTATTGGGTACGTTGGGTAGCATTGCACTAGGCTCCAAATCGATCTAGTGTTAAATGTCCCACAAGGGTGGTAACTCCTCAAACAACTCACCTAGGAATACATCACCAAATTCCACAACTACGAGGACTATTACTTCTAATATTACCTAATCATTTCCAACATCTTTTCCAATCAACACATAGACCATTCTTGAATCCCGTAACTCTTCCTCAAATCATGTTAGCGACACTAGCTTGTTATTATCTCCTCCAGGGCTTGGAAATAACTAAGATCTTGCTAGGTACAAGTATAATCTTTACCCTATTAAACATGAAACTATAAGTATTAACTCCCTCATCACGAATTACACTCTTATCATACCGCTAAGGCCTACCTAACGAGTAAATGAAATGCATCAATTGTAATCATATCACATCACACATCATCCTTATACTTAAAGCCAATAAAAAAGAAACTAGAGCTCATTGAGAAATAATTACCTCTTTCGTTTTTCAAGTCGAGTCGGCTTGTAAGGCTTAGAGAGCCTCTCTATTTTGGGATTCAATTTCTACACTACTTCATCGAAATAATATTCTCATAACTATTAGCATCAATGACAAAACAACATAACTTACCTTGAATTGTGTAAGTGGAGTGGAAAATATTACTCTTTAGATAATCATCCTTAGTAACTTTAGGAGTCAAGCGAGTACCTCCTAACAACTTAGTGTTGTTCCTTCATCACCCATCACAACCTCCTCTTTTAGGCTATCTCTATCATCATAAACTTGATCATCCATCAACTCTGTTAGCACCTAAATTTTTCTCAAGAAAATAAAAATATAATAAAAAAAGAAAAAAAGAGAATAAAAAATATAATCAAGGGATGCGATTGAAAAATAGGAAAGAAAAAGACTAAAATAAAATGGGTTCGTGAAATGAATGACCAAAAAAAAAACTTAGCCTAGTAAAAAACCAATATAAAAACCCACTTTTCTCTAAATTTTAGGGGCATACTATTCAACTTCTCTCTTTAGAAAAATCTAGTCGGCTATCTCTCATAAAAATCGAAATCGATTAGCCCTCTACTCGATCGATCTAAACTAGCCTTCTCTCCAGCTCAGTTCAATTCTTTCTACACCTTCGATCGATCCAGCGGTTATGCTCGTCAACCTCTAGCTAGTCAACCCTACGCCTTCCTCCTCTAACCGAAACTTTTCATCCAACCACATGTTTCAACCTCCTCCAATCGTCGTTCCTCCCTCGCCCGACATCGATCTAGCCGATCCATCCTTCTCTTTAGCTCGGTTTGATCAAAATCACGTTTCTAGCCTCGACTTCGACCAACGACGTTTCACCGGTGATCGCCTAACGTCTAACGATTGTTCCTCTTTTATTGAAGCTCCATCGATCAACAACGGTCCAATTCAACCCCTCCGATGGCTCAATCCTGTTTAGTTAGCCCCTTGTCGGTTCGATTCAATCAATTCGGTTTCAATCGGCTTCTTCTTTATTTGATCGATTTGATCTAACTCGCTTCTCTATGTTGTTTCGTTAGATTCGATCACTAACAACCGTCCTTCCTCTCTAATTGATTGAATATTAATCTCCATCGGGGTTGAAAAGAGTCGAGTGGATCTTAATTCAACGATCTTATCTCGCCTCCTATTTATAATAATTTATTTTATTTTTTGCTTTATTTTATTTTATTTTAATATGTATTAAATCTTATTCATGATATTGTGCTTGTAAATTAATTAATTTATTTTGATATGTTTGTAAGTTAATTAAATTGTCACTTATGTATGATTGGATTGAATTGTCATGTTGTGTACGGTTTAATTGAATTGTTGTTGCGTTGTGTTGGTTTGGTTGACGTTGTGCTCGTTGATGTGGTTGAATGCTCATTGTTGTTTGTGAATTTTTTTAATACGCATTAGTTTCAATTTTGACTTGGATCGTTTTTATCAATCACAACGATTGATTAATATTATGTTGATTTTTGCCTAAAAAATATGACTCTTGAACCGTTGTTGCAATTTACGATGATCAATTTAATACTGTGTCAATTTTGTCTAAAAAACACAATGTTTGACACTACTAGATAAATGTCATTTAGCGACGGGCATACCCATCGCTAAATTAAAAAAAAAACCATTGCTAAAATGTTTTAGCAAAGGTTTAGCGACGATCAAGAAATCATTGTTAAAAAGGTCGTCGGTGTTTTTTAGCGACGGTTTGGATTGTCGTAAAATTAGCGACGGTCCAAAACGTTGCTATTCCGTCGCTAAATGTTGATGTAAACGAGTTATGACATTAGCGACGGTCTTGTAAACCCTTGGTATGACCATTGCTAAATAGCGACGGATTAGCGATGGTCTTGACCGTTGCTAAATTATTGGCAACGATCAATTTGACAATGATCCATACCGTTGGTAATTTTTTTATTTTTAGCGACGATCTAAAACGTTTCTAAGACCGTCGCTAATTGAAAAAATAAATTTATTTAAAACAATAATAAAATGAGGTAAAAGTAACAATTTTAAAGTAGCAAAAATCTCGTAAAATATCATAAACGTAAATTTTTATTATTCAAAATGTATTAAAACGTCGCTAAACAATTACATTATTGTTAAATAAAAAAATAGTACATCGATTGTAGTTAATACAAGAAAATAGAAAATCTAAAATAAGTTAATGTCCGGGATCGGTCGGAGGGTAGATGGAGTCGTCTAGAGGCCGGGTTGAGTTGTTTAGAGGTTGGGTCGAGTCGTTATCGGTCTCAAGAACGACGGATGAACTACCACCACGCTTAAAATGTCACATGAACATTTGCTGCATTTGTAACATCATCATAAACTCGCTCTCGACTATTGTTTCTCAACTCGATTGTGGTATCCAACAACGATGCCATTTGGCCACGTAGGTTGTTCATAGTACCCTATAAGTTATGGATGTGCGTCGTGTTTGTATATGTTTGCTCCTGTAATTTCTTCAATCGTGCCTCGTCGAGTCGCATTGAATCCGGAAGTAGCGAGAAGATGAGCCTACATTGACGATTGAATAATAGTGAGATGCATATGAGCCGAGTCCGTACATCCTCTTTCTCCTACTATCTCCTCCACCAACGACCCTTTGAAAGATGTCATTAATGTCGGGTGTCGTCGCTTCAGTTCCTCCCGACTGTCGGCTAGCAACCTATTTCTTATTAATTAATCTTTGTACGGTCTCTCGTATAATTATGAAACACGTCACATTAAATACGGTTGTCAAATAATGTTATTAACTAAGATATTAAATAATGTTTCAAAGTTATCACTTACTTCGATAACCCTTGATTGTTGATCGACGAAGACTAACCGATCATTAACCTTTCTCCGATGAGTCCTCAAGAAAACCTCGTGAGGATCGGGTTCATCACCCAATAGATTACGCCGAAAACATATATAAATAAACGTAAATGTATTAAATATAGTCGGATGTTTAATTAATTACTTTTGGTTTTATTTTTTAAAAAAATTATAAATAAATTAAATAATATATATTTTTTACCATGCGTATGGCGTGCTCTCTATGGCCGATTGATCCTCCCGTATGTCTAGAAGGACCGGCTTCGACTCCACCGGTCTCGCTCCGAAGGTTCCGTGCTCGCCATCTCGGATCGAGCAACGGCCTCGAGTTTCGTCCATTCCGTAGTCCATGCATCTCATATTTTCCGTGAGATATATGTTGGCTTCGGTTTTTTCCTTAGATGACAAAAGAAGTCAAAATATCGCTTCCGTGCGAGACTTTCCCATGCTTTCTTAACTATGGTTTCGTTCAAATCATCATCTCATTTAAATGATTTACGCCAAAAAAAAAATAATAAACACTACTAACTTTACTTTCATATTATTTTATACAATTTAATTAAATATTAAATAATATAATTAATTAAATAAAATTTAGAAATTAAAATCTTAAATTCTTCCCGGTAAAAATCTTATCTCCGGAGTCATTTTTTTCCACATCCATCCCGAGGAATGAACGTACTCTTGGAATGTCTTAACGATCGAGCGAGAGCAAACATCGAGAGGGATATAACCTATAAAAAAATAAACATTAATTAAATTCATAAATAATGGAGTGCATAATAATGGTAACCAAAAATTTTTTTAATTAAATTAAGCATAAACCATACTCATTGCGTCCAACGATAATGACCCGTCCTCGATGGTCAACCGCATATGTTATTGGTTACGAAGCTGATTGATTTGGGATATTGTGGGGTGGAAGGTGTTGAGGAACGAACGGTTGTCATGATGTGATGATGAAGGCAACGACGATGACGACGGAAAAGATGAGGGAGGTTGACGTGGAGGTTCAAAAGGTCTGCGGCGAGACATGACGGGCATGGAACGGGATGTGAATAGAGCCACTTAGAAGAGTGGTACGGAGGCATGTTTGATGGGGGATCCATCCGACCGTGAGCAAAATAAGAAGGGTGTCTACGACGTCTACGATCACCGATCGGTATCTAAACCACGACCCCTATCTCGAGTCATTATGACCTACATATTAATAAAATATGAATTATATAATGCATATATACTTACATATAACATTCAAATTAATATGAAATAATTGATTTATACTAAACAACAATAAATCATAAAAATTTATTTAATTAAATTTTACTTTTAAAAATTATATGTTAACTATGTAGGTAAACATACGAATAAACCTAATTTTTTCCTAAAATTGTGACAGAACGGGGACGGTACCACGGAGATTTATTAAAATAGTTTGAAAAATTACACTTGGGGGACAAAACCAGCCTATCTCAACATCCCGGGAGGACAAGGTTGCCTAGACCCTTAAATTCGAACAACAATTACATAAAATCCAAATGCATAATTTATGAATTGAATAAAAAATACAATATAACATAATCCAATGAGATATATCATATTATCTCTAATCACTATCATTATAATCATTGTCACATTCTTCATCTAAGTCTTCTTCAACATCGATTTCTAACTCCGATTCATTCCGAATATCTATTTCATCACCGTCCAATTCTAATAATGCTCCAGTAGAATCAATCAATGATCGACCTTCATCATCATCAATGTGCATGACATTGTGTTGACATTCTATTTCATTTTCTTAAAAGGGTTCGATATTGGTTTGATCGACGGTAATAGACATTTTTGGCACATCAACCGTAGGCCTTGGTTTAACCTTACATACCGCCAACCAATCTCGTCGTATGCGTTTACATGTAGGATATGTTACATAATACACCCGATGCGCTTGTGATTCTAGTATGAATGGATCGGATCTATTTGAATACCTATGACTATGAACCTCAACTAGTCCATAATGATCATGAACTCGTGTACCGATACTGTGTGTTGTATCATACCAATCACATTTGAACAAAACTGTTTTCTTTATTGGTAAGGTTGGATACTCGAAGTTCGAGTATGTCAATCAACCTACCGTAGTAGTCATTTTCCACCTCACCGTAGTTAACTCCTTTAACACACACTCCACTACACATTGATACTCTCTCCGAACCACCAACATCGATATGAAACTTATATCCGTTTATAATGTACCCCGCATACGAATTCGTAATTCGTAATGGTCCGTTAGCCAAATCTTTAATATAATGATCCGTTATAGTTTTAGGTTATGCTTGACTTGCTCGTATGTAAGGACTCGAATTACTTATAAGGTAATGTAATAATAAAATTTTATGAAATAAATTTATGAATATTTAATAACAATCTTGATAGCGAGGAATACTCACATATCGATGGAACTAGGAATACTCCAATTCTAATAATGCTAAAGTTATTTTTTATTTAGGGTTTTTTTTTAAAAAACCATTGAAAAATATATTAAATAACATTTACCAACGGTTTAGCAACGATTTAGACCGTTGCTAAATTTATAAACTGTCACTAAAATGGTTAGCCAATAACATTAGAAACGGATGGGGGGACCGTTGCTAAAAAACCGTTGCAAAATTTAATTTTTGTAACCATTTTTTAGATCGTTGCTAAAGTGTGGAAAATTGTTGCTAATCTAGGTATTTAGCGACGGTTTGTTGACCATCGCTAAATATCCGTCCCTAAAACTCATTTTTGTTGTAGTGTGAGTTGTGCTTGATTTGAATCCTATTTTCGATTCGTTTTTATCAATTTCAATGAGTTTG